GGATGAGGAGTCGCCTCTCGCCCTTGTACTGGCTTCCTCTTCTGTGAAGTGGAGGGTTTCTTAGCCGACTGCTCCTTGTCCAGAGCAGGCGGCTTCTTGTTGATCAACTCTTGAATTTCTCCCTTGAAGTCCCTCATGAAGGTCATGAGTTCACTCCTTGTGATGGGAGCAGACCCATCAGTCGGCTGTTGCCGAACAGGCGGTGCGCCTGCTGGCTCGCTTCCTGTATGAAGATGTTCCCGTTCCCTCCTTTCGGTATGACGGGTACGTTGGGCCCTTAGGGTCCCGTCTGAAGCTGTGTGAGCTTCAACTTCAAATTCATTCTCAGTATCGTGGTCCGACTGAACTAGAGGGTCGTCCAGGGGACGTCTCTCTTCAGGAGTCGGTACAAACGTGGATGCCATCTCAGAAGTACTCTCCCCACAGACGGCGCCAAATGTTTCGGGGTTTTCTGATGTCCTGCGGGAGAGTTACAATTCCGAGACTGGAACCGGACGCCTGTACCTGCAAAACAAACGGATGCTCCGGATGATTGGAGATCTGCCTCCGACGGTCAAGTTAGTACTTGATTAAGGAGTAATTAATGCGGAAATTAAAGTGATTGGGTCTCTCTAGGTGAGAGTGTTTAATGTGTATAATCTGCGTTTTTAGCGTGTTCCCCCCCTAATGAGGATTAAGGGGGGTATTTATAACCTCGGGAAACGTGCCAATCTAGGTTTAGGTTAACCTTGGGCTGATTGGGCTTCCCTCGGAAGTTGGGCCTAGGTGACCGGTTATCCCAGGTGTCATGGGATGGACACGTGTCGTGTCGTAATTGGTCCATAGTGGACGGATCATTGCTTGACACGTGGCAGGCTCCTACTGGCCCATGTGACGGACACATGGCAGAACCTGATGGGTCCACTTGTCAAATGGTGATTGGTGGGGAAAAATCCCCTAATCACTTTGAATTTTATTAGTCTAGTACAACACGAGAGAGGCACATAACACATTGTTGTATTGTGGCTTGTGCATCGACATCATTTTAAAAATTTAAGACAAATAAGACAATTGACTTACTAAGGGCCTGTTCTGATTTACTGAACTGAATTGAAATGATTGGAGCCGAAATGAATTGAACTTGAATGAGCTGAACTAAATTGTTTATGAGAGAAGGAAATTAGGAACTGAACTGAACTAAATTGATTAGAGATGAACTGAACTGAAATTAAGCCGAAGAGACTGACCTTTATTAGCATAGTGCAACACGTGAGTCGGGCCATACATAAAATTCTATTTATGAAAAATCAATAAGACACAATTTTGTATGAATTTTCATACAAGACATATGGGTTTACATGATCCGACCTATACAACTTTGATTTCGCCTAATATATGTAGTGAGACAATCAACCAATAACTTAAAACTAAATAAAAGCGAAACCAGTGATGATACATGTCATTCACTAGCTAAAAAATTTTCCTCCATTTTTCCTTTCCTTTTTTTTTGGTCAATTCTTCATGAAGAGTATGTATAGCCTATAATATTCTCTTAATGAAATACTCTAATATGTATAATTTTATATTAAGTAATTTTCGTAATATTGTCCAAGATTTCTATAATATTCTCATACTAATATTTCTATAATATTCTCATGCTGATATTATTATTAGGAAAAGTCTTACTTCTATAATAATCTCATATTCTCATACTAATTTTTTTTTTAATTCCTCAGCTTACTTATATAGTATAATATAAATCTATGATGGGGTCACTCATTTTTTAATACTCCGTATTTGATTTATATATATAAAAAAATAAAGTTAAAGTTAAAAAAAAAAAAAACCCCTTGTACAAACCAATGTGTATGTCAAACTGTGTCAACAAAATAGGGACATGATAGGGTGGTATATAGCATGGGTTCTAAATAATCAATAACTTCTATTTTTTTTTCTTCATATTCACAAAGTTTAATACATCAATAGCCTTTACAGCCTTACATGCATCATTGTCAAAAAAAAAAAAAAAAAAGAAAAAAAAAGAAATAAAAGGGAAAAAAAAGAAAACCTTGATGTCTATATAGGTATTTTTTATTTTTTTTAATAAATGTAATTCTTTGTTTATATTAATTGTTAAATTGATGTTATAGTTAAATAATTTTATAAATCCTATTAAATGAAATCTTAACCCTTCTACCAAGTGTTGCCTTGCTTTTATGCTTAACTAGTCTTTTGACCCGTACAATGCACGGGTTATTCATAAAAAAATTGCATTGAAAGATGAATTATGAAATATCAATAAGCCACTATGGTCATAATGTGTGATAAATAATATGATTAAAGAAATTTAATCTTTGGCATTGTAAATGAAAATGGGGATTAAATAAGGGAGGGGTTAAAATTAAAGAGAGAAAAGGGTGGAGTGGTTAAAATTAGTGGATTGCTAAACATCGCCCGCAAATCTCCACATAAAGCCCACAAACTTATATTGAAGTTACAATATTGCCCTTGACCTTAAAAAAAAAACACAGCTCAATAAAAATCAAAGTACGGGGATGTCGAGGCTCTTGGCGGCAAGGTGGTTGGCTCGTGGCGGCAAGGTAGTGGTGGCTCGTGGCGGCAAGGTGGTGGTGGCGCCAGGTCCGGCAGCCACGTCCACCGGCCTGGCGTCTGGGCAGGACGCCCAGCCACGGTGAGTGGCGTTTGGGACAGGCGCCAGTCACTGTGGCTGGGCGTCCTGCCCAGACGCCAGGCCGGTGGACGTGGCTGCCGGACCTGGCGCCACCACCAGCCACGGGCCGTCCTGGCCAGGCGCCCCAGCTGCCTTAATTTTTTTTTTTTTTTAATTTTTTTTTTTTTTTTGGAAAATCAGAAAATTTTTCTAATTTTTTTTTTTTTAATGTGTTTGATTTTTTTTTTTAATAATTATTAATTTTATGTGTTATTTTATATAAGTCTAGTATATATATTTTTTATAAAATCAAATAAAAAACATAAATTTCCACATTCTAAATCAAAACATAAATTTAATAAACATAATTTAAAAAAAGGCAAAAAAAAAAAAAAAATTAAAAAGTAAGGGCGGCGTCCAAACCAGACGCCAGTGCACTGGTGGTGGCGCCTGGCCTGGACGCCAGTGCACTGGTTGAGGCGCCTGGGCTAGACGCCAGTGCACTGGTTGTGGCGCCTTGCCTGGACGTCCTTGCCATGGTTCCGGCGTCCAAACTAGGCGCCACCTCGTTTTCCGTCGAAGACGACGTATCTCCGGCGACCCTCGCCTCTCCGGCCTCCCTGGGCAACCCAGTACGACTCCACATTTGTTAGATCGAGATTTGTTCACTTTGGGTACGATTATAGAAATGGGCAAAATTGTCAAACCATGTCTAATTTGTGGGCTTTATGTGGAGATTTGCGGGCGATGTTTAACAAATCCCTAAAATTAAAGAGAGAAAAGCAAAAGCTTGAATGGAATAGGGAAGATGAAGATAAAATGTACATGGAAGAATTAAAGAAATATAGTGTAATAAAAAATTAATTAATGATGTAAGAATACATGTGTCATTTGGATTAGAGAAAAAGATATTGAAGTGCAATAGGATGGAGACATGTGTTTTCCTTGGTTATAGTTTTTAAATACTAAGTATAGATATAGATTGTTGTTTGAACTTTACAGATATTGTATCTTACTTGTATAATAGCTCCCCTCCACACCAACTAGATGCACTAAGAATTCGTGGTTCGGACCCACTTGTGCCTGCCTTGAAGTATCGGCCGTCACAAGCCCCGACCACCCGCACTCCGCCGCCCAGATAGACGTGAGATTGTTCGCTTGTGTTGCTTTGTGCTCACAAGCCCCTCTTCCGCACAAAGTTAGCGTTCTTGCCGCTAAAAGGCTAGAGCGCGTTGCACATTTCGGGGCCCAGACAAAAATTGGCAATCACTAACAAATTAAATTGGCCAACAATTTTCTTCAATCAAGAAACATGCACTTCAAGATTACCTTATCTTGTACCTTCTACATTTCACAATTCTTGCAAAGCTAATTAACTTTAATTTTGTAATTATAAAAATTATACAGATTAAAAATTGCGAGAGTATACCTTGTGACCATTCTATCACACAACGTGAAAATGAAGTATATAAATAAGTGAATATATTTTGAAAGTATGTTAGGTATGTAGATTATATTGCATGACATCCAATTGGACAAACTTATAGTCATCTCTAGATATTTTCCATAGGAATTTGAAATAATAAGCACTACTCTAATAATCATTGTAACATCTATATAACTAGCGAAGAATATTGGACCAAAAGAAATACTTCTAACCTAAAGTTATTTTGTTTGAATCTATCTAATCTTATGGTAGGAATATGCCTTGAATTGATGATCGAGTAGTACACGATCATGTAGTCCATTGTACATGATCGTGTAATTAGTGTTTTTATTTACTCTTCAATATACACGGCCATGTGGTTCATGGTACAAGATCGTGTAGTTCCGCTACTACAAGACATGTCACACGGTCGTGTGGGTTCAAGGTACACGGTCGTATTATTTCGGTCCATGTGGTTATTGATTGGGCTTTAGCTCAAATTCAGTTTATGTTTTGGAGAGTTCTCTATATATACCCCTTAGGATTACTCCTAACTGGATAAGTTGAGTGGTTATTCAGAAATCCGAGAGTCTTTTGTGTATTTCTCATCTCTGAGATCTAAGAGAGACATTAGAAATCTGAGAGACAATCAATCTATTTCTGTGATTGGTCTCAAATCTGTTATGAATCTGTAATATGTATTCCCCAAGGTCAATAAAACTATTACTCTCACAGTCTCACCTACCCGTGGACATAGTCAACACATTGTTGGTGAACCACGTAAATCTATGTATGTTTTTCTCTTTAATTTTACATTCAATATTTGTTCTTTCTTGCATCCGTTATAACATCTAAGATTATATTACTTGAGACCTTAAAAGCTAACCAATAGCCGGAGAAACTCCCGCTCGATAGATTCCATACCTGTACTTCTGTAGTCCATATCTCGGTATCTCCTGCCTTGGTACTTCTATTTTCAATGAGATAGCCCAGATCGCATCACCTTAATAGTTAATACTGATCAAATTTTCCAGGTATATTGTAGTGTAGACATAAAACTTGTTAATAGCTTAATTTTTTCTATGATCAGATGCATTTATCATCCAATTTTAGAACTAACAACCGAACAAATCGCTTATATTTTTATGATGAAAAAGTAGCATAAAGTACAAATTTCACATACGATTAGATCAGTATGTATGTAGGAAGACACTTCGATATTATAATTGAGATCTTTCAAGTAGGTCATAATCTCATAACACTCAAAATTGTCCAGCTATCATCTACACAATTGCAAGCATAGCTTCAGTGTAGTGACAATTTTCTAATTCAATATGTTATTTCGATAAGAGAGTTTTACAAACTGTCTGGTCCTCTTCATTTCTGATTACCAGCTTCAACTGGCTCGACTACCTCAGCTTCAACTATCTCAGGATTCTGTGGCTGCTGAGCATCAAGTGATGAACCCCATTTTTCTGATAAACTTGCGCCCAACAAATCATATAGTCTTCCACTAACTTCTGCAGGGTTTTCAGGCTGCACAAAAACATGCCGTCAAGAAACTATATAATAAAAATAAAAATATTGTGCAAATTAACTCTTGCAGACAGCACAAGACTACATGATGAAACTAGTAAGTTCTCATGGGGAGGCTAGTAGGCTACGCAGAAAAATGTCTTCAGAATAATCTCCTCTGTTATGAAATTACAATCCTATAGTAATCACAAGGACTGTACAAAGTACAAACTAATGTACATGCATGCAACACTTATATGGGGTTCACACTCGAAAGACACAAGAATACACCGAGCTTTGTTTGAAGAACTCTGAATCTCTGATATATATATATATAAAATAAAAAAAATAAAAAAAATAAAAAAAACTTTCTGAATCAAAAGGCAGGTTTTAATTACAAGTATGTTTTTTTATATTTACTTGAGATAGAACAGATGAGAGTTTGACTATATCCATTAAATTTACCCAAAAGAAAAATAGAAAATCCACAAACAAGACAAAATGCCCAAAATAAACACATGCATCCAGACAAGAATCCAATTTAACTTACAGTGAAACCACTGGAGATTAGTGCTGAATCATATAATAGATCAACAGCTCTAAGAACTTCTTCATCCTCTGAACCACTCTTGTACGCAGACTGTAGAGCAAAAGAGACGATCAATCTTAAACACTAGTAGATAAACACTACATACAGTCAGAACACATAAATATTCACCAAATTTACGTACATGCAAAGTTTTGATAATCAGATGGTCAGGATTAATCTCAAGCACCCTTCTACTTTTCATGAATTCAAGAGGACTTGAACCGCTAGAATTTTGTGCCTTCATCAACCTGCAAAGGCCAATATCATTGTTCATCTTCCACTGATAGGTAATAAGATATTAAAATGAAAAGCTATGCCCCAAAAGAAAAAACACCAACCTTTCCATATTAGCTGAAAAACCGAATTTACCAGATGCAAGAGCACATGGTGAAGAGCTCAAACGATTAGAAACTTGGACACTAGCAACTTTATCACCCAGTCGCTTTTTAATCCAGTCACAAGTTTTTCCAAATTCTTGTTTCACCTCTGTTTCTTTCTCCGCATTTTCCCCTCCTGCAACAATGTCAAAATTGCAATTCTATATAAATTTTGTTTACCAAATGCAACTCTTGATCAGATACCACAATATTGGGCAAAAAAACCCTAATAACTTCCCCTTCTCACCCTCCAGAAAACAGGCAAATGTTGGGGTGGTCTATGGGGCTAATAGAGTAATAGGAAGCCACTAGGAGTTTCCACTTCAAACCTAAGGTCCTACTCTTGATAATACTTGGCATGCTAAATGTACCCACCCCCCCACCCCCCCAACCACAAATGATGATCTATGGGGATATCAGCAAGCCACTATAAGTTGAAGCATGCCAGAGAGAGAGAGAGAGAGAGAGACACCAATGTGCATACCTAAGTCTAAGCCTTCCTTGCTGATGTCCACAAAGTTCTTCTCCTTGTATGCCTTTAAATTCTGAATGGCAACCTCATCAATGGGTTCAACTAAGAAGAGTACCTGTTAAGTGTAAACAGACGAACAGTTTACATTGACGTAAACCATGCCAGTATGCCAAGCCAACAAATAGCAACCACTACAAGGAAGGAACTGAAAGCTGAATAAGTAAGGTAAGAGGGATTTCTACCTCGAGATCCTTCTCCAAAAGCTTTTCAAGGAAAGGTGTATCTTTGGCACTAGTTACACTGTCAGAAGCAATGTAATAGATATCCTTCTGGTCAGGTTTCATGTTTTCTACATATTCATCTAAGCTTATCATCTCTTGTTCACTTTGAGATGAGAAGAATCGTAGCAGAGGTGCAATACGTTTGTGATTATCACGATCTTCGATGCAACCCAATTTCAGGTGTTTGCCAAAGTTCTCCCAGAACTTCTCATAATCCTACAATAAAGAAGTGATAGAAGGCATAAATCATTTTAAGAAATTGGAAAAAGGTATTACATGACAAGGAATTGTTGTTCAGTCTAACAAATTGATATCATTGTATGTTAAATATGCACCTAGTGGCTAGTACATGGACCAGTGTCAGAGATGATTAGTCAAGTCAGAAAAGAAAAAAAAAACATAATTAAATTCATCTTTGTTTACTTACATCTTTGTTCTCACTCATTGATATGCCAAGGATCATGTCAAAGGCCTTCTTAAGCAATCGTTTCCGCATAATTCTCACCTTTAATCAATGAAAAATAAATGGGAAAAATATTATTAAAATCTTCAATAATAGTGGAGTAAATTATAGTTTTATTTTTAAAAAATTAAAAAACAAAGACAGAAACCCTTACAATTCGGCTTTCTTGGAGAATCTCACGAGAGACGTTAAGAGGAAGGTCACTTGAATCCACAACACCTTTTATAAAGCTCATATATCTAGGAAACTACCAAGAGGTGACAAGGACATATTAAGACTCATCACAAAGCATATTTGATAAACTAGACACATTATTCTAGCATAAAGCTTACCAATTCTCCATCAAAGTCATCTGAAATGAAGACTCTTTTGACATAGAGCTTTATATTTTTGGTCTTACTATTAATTAAATCATCATTTCCATGAGGCGATACTGATGGAACATACAAGACAGATCTGAATTCGACTTCACCCTGCAACCAAACAAAAATTAGAGACCTCATAAATGAGACTTACACTGAATAAGTTCAAAAACCTAAATGTAAAGTAAAAACCCATACAGAAATAAAATAAATACAGAATAGTATACATCCAGCTCTTTAGCTTCCGAGAGTATACCTCTGTTGTGAAGTGCGATGATGCTAGAGGATCTAAATAGTCGTCAAAGGTCTTTCGGTAAAACTCATTGTACTCTTCAGTAGTAACTTCCTTTGGATTCCGGAGCTACATTTATAAGAGTTGAGCATGATCAGCCAATAAATAAAAAACTCATTGCTATAACAAAGAATAAAAAACAACAAATGCTCACCCATATTGGTTGAGTCTCGTTCATGAGCTCCCAATCCCAGTGTTTCTCAACCACCTTTTTGGTCTTCTTCTTCTTCTGGAAAAGCATAGTATAAGAGTAATAGTTAAATATTGACGGTTACCAGAAAAAGGGATAAAATATCTTGTTCACATGCAAACATAATTCATAGATCAACAATCACAAATGAACCAAGAAATATACCTCAGTTTGCTCTTCTACACCATCTTTATTAGCTTCAGCAGGATCCTCATCCACTTCAACCTGAAATATATTAAAGCTAGTTCAAAAGGCATCCTAATGTGCTGAAAACAAAACCTAATGTTCCTACAGCAGGATACAATGCAAGTAGCAATAATTTCAAATAACAGCTGGCAGAATAATGAAGTCTCATTACCTCCTTTACAGTTCCCTTCTCTTCCCATGTGTATATCGGAAAGGAAACAAATTGTGAGTAATTCTTAAGAAGTTTCTGGATTCTCTCTGGATGAGCAAAATTTTTGGCATCACCCTAAAAGTAATATATATACATCAAAAGAATGGTTATTAGTGAGAAGATATTGGAATGAACATGATAAAGTTCAGTAACAGTTCCACAATTCACCTTCAGATAAAGTGTAATGCGGGTTCCTCTAGGTAACAGCTTCTCTGGATCTGTCTCCTCTCTAATCATATAGGTACTGGCATTAGCTTCCCCCTCCCACACATACTGTTTGTCAGACTTGGGACTCTTTGTTGCAACAACCACCTATTTGCATTAATAGAGAGTTAATGAATGCACAATTAAAGAGTTAGTGAACCACAAAAGATCCAGCAAGCAAAAAGCCACAGTACGAAGTGGTTTTTCAGTAGGAATTCATATTCTACCTTATCAGACACTAAAAATGCTGAATAAAACCCAACTCCAAATTGACCGATAAGATTGTTGTCTGCTCCAGATTCTTTACTATCCTGCCAAATAAGAAAACTTGAATAAATATATTATACTACTCTATGAGTGAAAACCAGAGCATGAGTGAAAGCTTAGCACATATCCTAACCTTCAATGCCTTAAGAAATTTAGCTGTTCCACTTTGTGCAATAGTTCCAAGACAATCTACAAGTTCTTCGCGTGTCATGCCAATTCCAGTATCACTGTGGAAAAAGCGATAAAACAAAGATTAGAAAGAAATCGGTTGGACAATGCATTTAGAAATTAATAATAATGAGTCCTTCAGTTAACCATACGTTATTGTGATGATCCCATTATCTTTGTCAGCTTGGACACGAATATCAAGCTCCGCAACGTCCTTTGATAACTCTGGTTGAGTAACACTAAGAAACCGAAGCTTGTCTAGAGCATCACTTGCATTGCTGAAGAACAAAAAAATATATACAAATATGTCATTAGATCTAAATTACAAAGAAATCCTACGAGAGACATAATTCTATTACACACACAATTAACTACATGTTTACAATAAAAACAATTGGCGTATTATTTACTACATCTTCAAACCCTATGTTACTTGGACTCGGATGAAGTGTCAAATTAGACACGGGTGTCCAAGCATCGGACTCGCCCATTTTCTTGAAAAAAGTTGTGTTTTTAGTTAAAAATGAAGTGTCCAGGTGTCGGTGTCGGTGTCCGACACGAGTCGTGTCGACACGGACACGTGAGGTAAATGAAAGAGTCTGAGTAACATAGTTCAAACCAATACAAAACCTCCTTTTGGGAAGAAAAAAATACAAGAGCTTCCTAGTTACTGTGGCACTTATTCAATGAACTGTCAAGCGAATGGATGACCAAATGCCATTAATTCTACTCCAATTTTCACCAAAATATTTTCAAGAAGTATTTTTTTGAATACAACAACTTTAGCTACTCTTAGCACATATTCGATGAATTGTCAAGCAAACGAATGACCAAAATCAATAATATCTATCTCGAATTTTCACAAAGATTTTCAAAAACTATTTTTATATACAACAGCTGCATAGTAGTTTTTCGGGAACAGTTTCATAGTTACTCTAGCATACATTCAACGAATTGTCAAGCATAAGAATCGCCACAATCCGTTACTTCTAATTAAGACATACAAAAAAATCCATAAACAATGTAGAAAGATAATCACCTGATCAGCTCTCTCAAAAAAATCTCTTTGTTACTGTAAAGGCTATTAACAATAAGATCCATGAGTCTGCTAACCTCCGCCTGATACTCGTATTTCTCAGCAGGAGCACCACCAGCAGCAGACGAGTCAGAGGCTGCAGCCGTGGACTCATAGCGACGGCCTATGCCACTAAAATGCGAGCCAGGAGCATCGAATATACTCGAAACCAACGACGAGTACACTCTACGTTCCGATTTCACCTCATTATCCTTTGAGCAATGTAATTTCATATTAGCACGTCATATAGTAGATCACAGTTCATATATAGTTCCAAGCTAATGCAAATCAGCAAATCATACACTCTATTCACTATCTTAGCTTCAGAAATTCATTATTTCCAAAAAAACAATTGAAATTTTTTCAATTTGCAGAATCGCAAATACTTCAAATTTACACATTTTGCAACAATCAACAAACATTCAATTCAATAAATAAGCAAAAATCACAAGTAATGATTAAAAAGTGATAATAATGACGAGAAATTGGAGAAAAACTTACAGAAATAATTAGAGGAGAAGTTGAAGAAGCTGCGACGGCATTCCGATGACGGAAACCACCGTGACGGAGGATAGTAGCGACTGATCGTCGTGAAATACGGTGCATTTTTCACTGGGAAAATCAACGAATTTCAAATTTTCAGATGAGTGACAGAGTTGTTGAAATGAAAGTTTGGATAGAAAGAGGAAGAAGTGAAAATGGGGTTCAAGGGTTTTAGTAGGGTTCAAGGGCTTTAGGGAATTAAGGACTTTGCAGAAGGTTCTGGAGATGGGCTGACTTATGGACTTATGGTTGTTATTTACCACTCTCACTCCACTCTCCGAGGGTAATTTGGTCATTTCTTATATATATATATTTTTTTTTACCCAAACAATATCTTAAATAATGAGATTGTGTTTAGGCAGTGGCGGACCTAGGATTTTTGAGGTGGTGAGTCACCATCAATTATTGATCATTTGTAAAAGTACATTTTTATTTTTCCAAATCTTATTTATAATTAATTTCAATTCTAAAATTATATATATATATATACATATATATATATATATATATATATATATTTCACCAAATTGATTTCAATACAAAAATAGGACGCAAAAATCCATATTACAACAAAATAGTACTTAAAAATTCAATCTTACAAATCAAAAGTATTACAAATAACATGTTACAAACAAATTATACTATAAAATTATTACATTAACTTTATGTTTTTTTACTTAATTGATAAGCTTTGGGGGATATAAATAGAAGCAAAAATTATTAAAACTAATAATAATGATGATAATAATAATAATAAGTGAGATAACTTAAGAGACCGGTTATTAAATATAACCGATCTCTTTAATTATTAAAGAAAGCAGCACAATACGCAGCAACACCAAAGAGACCCGTTATCTTAATAACTGGTCTCTTTGATATTCAACAAAAAAACACGTTGAGAGAGTGATAGGTGACAGAGTCAAAGTTCTTTTGATATTTTTACATCAAAGAGACCTGTTATTTATATTAACGGGTCTCTTTGATTCAACATTTTTTTTTTTTAACTGGTGAGTCACGTGCACCACCAGACACATGAATAGGTCCGCCCCTGTGTTTAGGCATGTACAAAGGTTTTTGAAATGGAAATCAAAGATTTTATTATTATTATTTTTACGATTTTTTTACCATATACCACTGAGTTTTAACTTAATTCACCATATACCACCAAAAACTTTCTAATTCACCATATACCATATACCATTGAGTTCCTGTGCAATACCACAAAATACCTTTTTTTTGGTAACTGTCGTTAGTCTGCCGCTAGCTTGTCGTTTGGGGTATTTTACTAATTCACCATATACCCGTGTTTATAAAGTTATTTCACCATATACCATTAAATTAAAAGATATTTCACTATATACCCAGAAATTACAACGGTTATTTTTTTTTCTAAAAAAAAAATTAGTCGTTGATTATTATAAAGGATAGTTTATGTATATAAACATAATATTATAGGGATTAAAACAACACTTCACCCTTCTAAAAGCATTTGCAAAGATGTCAACACACTCAAAATCATCATCATCATTTTACGAATATGCATACATAAGAATAATGCCAAATAAAGCTTGTACAGGTGGGAAGAAATTTACAATAAATTAAAGAGTCTTGATTCGACAAAATATCCATAAAATTTGTACTATAAGTGTGATATATGAGAGAAATTTTGATGTTGCAAGGGTAATGTCGAGCAAAATGTCCTTTCGGGTTATGAATTTCAAAACAGGGGAAGCATAGACACACAATGTCATGGAGATGAGAACATGTTGAAGGAGCTCAAGAAAAGAGCAGTGAAGCAGTGAAAAATAGTAGATACAACAATTAAAATAGCCATTGCAAATTCTAGGTATACGGTGAAATATCTTTTAATTTAATAGTATCTGGTGAAATAACTTTATAAACATGGGTATATGGTGAATTGGTAAAATACCCCAAACGGCAGACTAATGGCCCAGTTATCAAAAAATGTATTTTGTGGAATTGCACAACAACTTAGTGGTACATGATGAATTAGAAAGTTTTTGGTGGTATATGGTGAATTAAGTTAAAACTCAGTGGTATATGGTGAAAATTCCGTTATTTTTAGTAGGGTAAGATACGAAATGTGCCCCTCCTATCACAGGAGAAGTGGGGTAAGGAACAAACCCAGTTACTTGTGGGGGAGATTGAGGGACAAACCATCCTTCCACTCCTTAATCCTTAGAATGGAAATCAAAGATGAAACAACATATCCCTAAATATTAAGGGTAAATTAATGGAAAAGAGATAATTGCTTGTGTTCATACAAATTAGTTAAAAAAAATATATGCTCATTTGTTTAAAAAAATATTAATTAATTGTATAATGGATATTGTGTAAAATAACATCACAAAAAAGTCTCCAATTAGATTATAATACCACAAAATTTAAAACTTTTTATTATAACACTACAAAAAAATAAAAACCCCTAAAATTGGATTTCACCACCTCCTAGTAGATTTTTGGATGGAATCTGTTAGTAGGATCCATTATAGACACGTGTCACTAGCACGCACATTGGCAGTCCTAGTATTTTAATTTATTTTTTGACCAATATCCTACACGGCTACACCGGAGTTTAGCTCTGACTACAGCCTACATCCGAATCCGACTACAAAGAGGGGGGTGAGAATCGATCCCAAGATCACCTGAAATTGGGAGGAAAGGTGTAACCACACCAAGCTATCCCTCACTCTCACGAGTAGAGTCATGTCTTAGTTCAAGATAACACCTTATTTCATGCAAAATCAATAAAGCTCCGAGAATAGGGGGTAAACAACTAAACAAGTAAACAAAAACTGATGAACCTAGACCTATCTGTCCTCATTTTCCCGCTCTGTCTTGAAGCGCACTCCACTTGGCGACTTCTGAACATCTCTATCCTCCATTGAAGCAGCTTCTGAGGTTAACTCTTATTTCCTTTTGTATTCATTGAATGTTTATTTCACAAACTAGGGTTCATCTTTCATTTTTTATATTGTCACTATAGTCTATTTGAAGTCGATTATTGAACTATTAGTTATAACTAATTACTAAGCTTATGGGAAGATCATAACGACTGAATTTGTTGTCAGAGAAGAGAATTTGCCTATAATATTAGGATGGAACTATGAAATTGGACCTTTTTCTACCTAAAATCATGCAAATTTTTAGTTTAATTTTGATAATTGAATCAAGTTTGGTTGCTAATGTGTTTGCGGAACCCTTTAATGCTAGAATGGAAATATGATATTGGACCTTTTGTCGCTGGGCCTAGGGCGGCCGCCCCTCCTGCCATTGCTCAGAGTCGGGTCGGAGTATGGTATATTAAGGGTGCTGGCTTGGTGGGGTTTTGTTGTAGATTGTGTAGGCGTTGGTATTGCTGGAACGGGGCTGGTGTAAAGTATTTGTCTCAATTTTCTTGTTTCTTAACTCATTTAAACCCCCATATGTAACGGAATGCGTGCCATTGTAATGGAACGGTATATGTCATTAGTTCATGAGCTGAGTTTATCTAATTTTAGTAGAAATTGTTGTACTGAAGGTAAATGTAAGTCATGAACTATGTTGCCCAAACTCTTTATTTTACATTTTTACCTCATTATTGACACTCCCAACTCTTCATTTTGGACCAATATTATGAGAATTTTCGTCAGTAGCTATGCTTGGCTTTTTGACAGGGATTCATGTTTATTATGAGTTTCCAAGTCCAAGAATGTTGGTCATTAAGCTTTTTCTCTGTTTTATGAAAGGTCTTTTTTGCTGTTTTTAAGAAAGTTGGCTGCAATATGATTTATATTTTTATTTTTCCTGATACCTCTGTTGTTTTATTTATCTTGAAAATAATCGATTCTTTAACTTTATATTATTTGACATTGATAATCTTATGGAATGTTGTTTCTCTGTGTACAGCACCGAAAGTGACGTGGTTGATGATTGCAGCTAGTTTTTATTCTGGTAATGGCATCTCAAAAACTGCTTGTCCACGTACAAGGGGCCTATATAGGAAAATGTAGTGACCCTATGGTTGTTTATAATTGAAGAGAGAGTTTTGTATGTACCCTTTGGTAAAGCAGATACATACCATTCCCAGGACACTAACCTTTTTCTCTCGCTTACTTGACCATTGTCACTCATCAAAGTCACTGAATTTAACCAAAGTGGTCCATGGACAGTTAATAAAAGTTGGATTTAATCGTCACACATTTTTAGGTAATCGCTGCCTTGAACTTTATACCCGGTGTCAATTTGTTGATGACATCCTTAAAGCATTTGGTGACATATCAAGGAAGAATACTATATCTTGGAATATTTGCTTGAAGGGGTTGTTGAATTGTGGCCACAGTGAGATCGCTCAGTCCTTGTTCGAGAGGATACCTGAACAAGATGTTGTTAGTTGGAATACTATGATTTCATGGTATGCCTCATGTGGACATAGTGATTGTGTGTGGGAAAAATTCCGAGAAATGCAATATATGGGAGTGAAGCCAAGCGGGTATACTTATTCAATTGTCGCATCATTGGTGTTTGATGCCATCTTGGGCAAGGAGCTTCATGGTAAGATGATTAGAAGTGGTTTAATCAGGTCAAACTTGGTTCTAGGGAATTCTTTAATTGATATGTATGGCAAGATTGGCCTAATTGACTATGCTGTTGGTGTTTTTTTGAGTATGGAACATTTGGATTTGATATCTTGGAATTCATTAATTGTGGGTTGTTGTAAAGCTGGATTTGGGGAATTAGCACTTAATCAGTTTTCTTCAATGAGATACTTGGGGTTTCCACCTGATGAGTTTACATGTTCTGCAGTAATCACTTGCTGTACGAATTTGCGAAACTTAGAAAGGGGTAAGCAGATTTTTGCTCTCTGTATCAAGGTTGGCTTTCTTAGCAATTCCATTATCTCAAGTGCCATTATTGACCTGTTCTCGAAATGCAACAGATTGGAGCATTCAGTTCAACTCTTCAAAGAGCTTGACAGACACAATTCTGCAGATTGCAATTCCATGATATCAGGCTATACATCTCATGACATCAGTGAGAGTGCTATCCAACTCCTCATGGTCATGCTGAAGGAGGATATAAGGCCTACAGAGTTCACCCTTAGCAGTATTTTGTCCTCCATTAGTGGTATGAAAGTGGTGCAAGGAACTCACATCCATTCTTTGGTGGTTAAAATAGGTTTTGAGATTGATTGTGTTGTTTGTAGCTCACTCATTCATATGTATGCAACACTTGGGTTGATCGATTGTGCTATGAAAATTTTTGCGAGTATGACCTTGCCAGATTTGATTTCTTGGAATACCATGATTATGGGTTTGACTCTTAATGGAAGATTAGTTATGGCAATAAACACTTTCAAAGAACTACATAGAAGAGGTCCATTGCCCGATCAAATATCGCTAACTGGTGTTTTACGAGCATGTAGCTATGGAGGTTTTGTTAATGAAGGAATTGCTATATTTTCAAAAATGGAGGAGTATTATGGTGTTAGACCCTGTAATGAGCATTATGCTTGCCTTGTAGATCTGTTGTGTCAAGATGGTAGGCTCTATGATGCAATGGAAATTATTGAATTGATGCCTTTTGAACCAAGTTCAACAATTTGGAAATTGTTACTTCATGCTTGTGTAAGTCATGGAGATGTGAGGCTTGCAGAGAAAGTAGCTGTGAGATTGATGGAGTTGGAGCCACATTTATCTCTACCTTATGTGGTTTTAGGCCGTGTATATGAGATGAAGGGCCAGTGGGAGGATGCAGTTCGGGTGAGGGAAGCCATGAAGAGGATTGTCTCGGAGAAGGTTGTTGGATGTAGTTGTATTGTGATAAAAGATCATGTATATAGCTTTACAGGAGAACAGCTGCAACAACATGCAGGCGGAGATATTTACTCCATTCTCAGATTAATGACTTGGGAGAAGGGTGAAACAATGATCATGGAAGTTAATCAGACAGATATTTATGCTATTGCAAACATGGTTATGGTATTATGAGATGTGTTCATATGCTCATCCCACAAAGAACAATGCTACTTGCGGCTGGCGTACTGCACGGGGAATTCAAATACGCATTCTATGCTTGGTATGACATGTGATAGACCTCTTTAGTATCAATGCTGGTATTATAAAAAAATCCCTGCAAATCTGTTGCCAATTTTAAATAATTTGACCTTGTATCAGTATGTTTATTCTCTTTAATTTATATTAAGCTTAAATATTTTCTTGTGTGTACTTTCTACCATTGCTGATTTTTGCACAGGGACTGTTGGGTGTGCCTAGTGCTGAGGTATTGGTAAGTGTAACTTTTGCCTTCCTCGATTTTGTGTTTCCAGTTTTGATTTTTTTTGGCAATCATTTTCTGGTTTACTATCATCAGATTCATCACAGCTAATGTTGAATATTGTCTGAAATTTCTGTAATCTCAGCTATTCAACTTCATGATTTGAGGGCTTTTATTCAATGGTTTATGATGTGTAATTTAGTAAGGTATGTTTTGATGCTCGCTAGTTCATTTCTCTTTTCTAGATGTTGAGATTTTTGGTTTCGGAGGGTTGACTAGTCAGGCAACCGAATATGTTGATTCTGGATGTGATTTGATCATTTGGCCTGATGTGAATCCGTCCTTTTCTAATTTGATAATATGAGGCCCTTTTCTTTTCTTTTTTTTTTTTTTTCTAAAAAAAATAAAAATATTATACTTCCTCTGTTTCATTTTTACTTGCTACACAACCTCAAGGTACGTACTTTTAGGAGGTAGTCAGAGAAGGTAAGCGAGTGCTTTTATCATAATATATGTAGGGAAGGGGTTAGGTACCATGTGTAAAAATTATCTTGATTATTTCCGTTGCATTGAATCTCTTCCTCAAACAATGTGCCTTGAGAGTCAATTAAAAGAAAATGGAGAAAATATGTGATTATTAGTTTTTATTATGAGAATGCATGTGATTAGTATTTAGCTTTCTAAGAAGCTACACATTATCAGAAATTACGGTTTGTCATGTTAAATGTTTCGGAGTTCTGATTTTGTCTTAATACCTTTTGTTAGTTCAATTTTCAGCAACATCTATGATACCTTATAGCTCTTTTTGTTGTGTATAGTGTAGTATTTAATGGAGCCAACCGAGCCATCCGTACCAGCCAAGCCACCTGTGAGTCTAATGTATGCAAGAAGAAAAAGACGAGGGAAACACTGAGAGAATGCAGCAGCAACAAGCAGAGCAGCAGCCACAACACACTGAGGTTTCCCACACCATTTAATGGGTGCCATCAGAATCTCTATTGATAGATGTAGAAGAAGGCAAATTATGTAAATATAATTAGAGAGGAGAGTATGAGAAGGCATTCAGTTATTTTGTAATTTGTGCTTGCACTAGCAGATTGACATATACAATATGTAATGGAATTTCAATTTGCTATCTTCAATTAAGTAACTGGATTTATATGACTCAGTTTCTATATAATCTTATCAATGCTATTCTCGAGACAGTATGTGTTCCATTTGGTGATCTGGGCATCTGGCCATTATCCTTTGGCCTATTGCCGTGGTTGGATCATTTCTTGATGCATTTATGTCTAGTTTTTCTTGGATTCTATCTTGGTATTGTCGTTCATCAGGTTATTCAGGCGTGTGATCTTTACTTTGTGGGAGAGGATTTAATGTCTTAGTTCTTATATAGCAAATATCAGATATAACATACTCCGTATCATGGAAGCAATCACAACATATATGATGATATTAATTCCTTATGTATCAAATGTACCCTTACTAATATACCTTGAAATGTTAATATGCTCTTCAAAAAACCTGTGAGATGTTAAATACGTACTTAAAATGGTCACAGGAAAATCTTAGAGAATAGAAAGGAAGAGCTAAGTGATTCAAAGTTCATCTCACAACACTCAAGAACATTAAAATCTGCAATTCAACAACATAAGCCTATAAAGGTAAGATGACATGAATAATCCTCACTAAGTTTCTTTGCCACTTGAGTAATTGCACGACTACCACCCAATCTTGCACTAGTACTTATGAGAAATAATGTTATGACCTTTAATTAATTCTTGGTTGAGCGAGCCTAATCTCTTAGTTCTCCCTACCATTAAAACATTCTTGATTAAGGAATGCTGGTTGGAAAGATGTTTTTGAATAAAATTTTCTTATTCAACTAGATTCGTTTCTCAAGATACCGTACTGCATTATTGGGTAATGGATTGACTGTTCAAATCATGTGAGGTGAATGGAAGCAATTGCTTCATTAAGGTCTGATAAATGTAAAAGACATCAGAGTGAGTTGTGAAAGGGGACTGCAAGAAGTTGGGTACTGCACTCCCTGCATGTTGCATTTTGAAATGTTTGCTTCCCTCTGTTAAGTCAGATGCACCTGGTTTAGTATATAGTCGTCTGTATATTTCTCTACACCTAACGTCCTGTAATTATATCAGTATTGACGCGTGTGCCCTAATCCTCCAAGCAATCATGATATGCAAAAATGAGACACTACAGGATTGGGATGATGTTGGATTTCCATCTGAAGATAGTGTCAGAAGAGCACAGCTTTTCATCAGAAGGTATGAATTTGTGTAAAATAAAGATTAATCATTAAATGGATGCAACTCATGCAAGTAAAACTATGATTTTGCTTTCTACTTCCCAACAATTTAAGCCATCTAGAGGATTATGATTTAAAACTGCAAGTAATAAACAAAACATTATTGTCCCTCTAGATTGTAGGGGATGGTGAGATCCATGACAAGAATGCCAACTATCAAACGGCAATTCCAGAATTTGGTCAAAGTATTGTATATGAATTTGGTCAAGCATAATGCGGAAAATACTGTTTAGGCAGGCATAACATTCCTGAGATATATTGGCAGTTGAGTTGCAGTCTTGCAGATGCAATGCTATATATAGCCGGGAGCAAGCATAATGCGGAAAATACTGTATGGGCAGGCATAACCTTCCTGAGATATATTGGCAGTTGCATTGCAGTCTTGCAGATGCAATGCTATATATAGCCATATAGGTTATAGTTTTTGTAAAGATCAACTCAACTGTTAGTCCATAGCCCCATAGTTGACCAGCATAGCTGTTGAAAGCAATACTATATATAGGTTATAGTTTTTTTTATTGACAGGACCATGAATGAACTACTTACCCATTTGCTCTCTTATAGAAACCAAGTTTGTGATTGTACCATATACATGGTTCCAACAAAATATTACTTGACTTACATATATACTCATTTGGAGTTCTCCCAAATGAACAAATGAGCCAAAACAATAGTTAAGTTGTAGCATGCACATAGCACAACCAGTTCTACAAATTTTGCCCTTCACACCTGTCAATGACAAGCATAACTTGTAAAAACATTAAAATCCATCTTATTTGTAGGTAATAGTTTTGATTAATCACTATTATAAAAATAAATATTATATAAGATGCTATTGTAAAGCTATAGTTTTCATTTTTTGTGAAGACCTATAAAGCTCTCAGCATATTGGTTGTGTTTCAGATTTAATTTAATGCAAATTTTCATCTAATTGACAAACCAGATACTCAAATGCTAATGGAAACCAGGAAAGTATTTGATTTAGATAAGCAATCCAATAAAACATTCACTCGTACTAAAATCTCAATTAGTGTATCGAGAACAACAGTACAAAACAAAACCACAACAAAAGAAAATAACAAGCTGCTTAAGAGTTTGCAACAACGTTTAAAACCTCCAAGGCTGCTGCAGTAGAGGTTGGAGTACTGAGAACTAAAGCAAAAAACTTATTGAAAACAAATGAAAATGACAAGCTGCTAAAGAGTCTGCAACAACAGTTATAAACCACTACGGCGGCAACACCAACATCCCAGTCTCCAGATTTGATGCCATTACCCTTCTCTCTGATTGATATCCCCATGAACATGCCTCGATCTCAGTTCCTGCGAATTTTCATGAAAAGCATGAGCACCTTTCAGGCTTTCACAATTTTTTTGCTTTACTATGCTGACTTTATTAGGTATGACACACAATATTCAATATTTCCATAAATTTATCCAACCAGATAAGAAGATTTTGATACAAAAACAGTCTATAACAAAAGAAGACACTTTTACATATATAAACAAGCAGCAAAGAGCCAGCATACAACTTCCTGTATCCAGTAAGCTACAACATCTTTATATAGACTCATGCATGACAGACATGCTCATTAGTAACAACGTAGATGTAGTTAGGCACCTGAATTATTTCTGTTCCCTTGGAAAGGAAACTGGAAAAGAACTGTAAAATACTGATTAGAAAACCACTTGATGGGAAACAAATATAGTGCCCATCATACCATAACAATACAAACTAAAACGGGAAGATAAACTTTTGAAATTGATCAAACTTATTACTAAGTTGTGAGGGCTAAGCAGCTTGCAAAAGCATTGTTCTTAGGATTTCTATCTAACTTCTAAGAGAATCTGGTTCAACAGCATAAGCAACCTCATTATACAAGAGTTTCAAATCATTACCTCAAGCTACCAGTAAACCCTTAGCTAGCAGTAACAAACTAGTCAATTCTCTTATTATCATTTCAGAAATACATTCATAACTCATTGTAAGGTTGTAAGGAAATTAACCCATATAGCCCTTGTGCCCCACTGGAACACTGTGGACATAGTTTATAATACAATAGCTGCGGAAATAGTAGAAATAATACAACAGCTGCAGCACACGGCCACATAGTAGTCATAGGTCTGGCAGTAGACAACAATACTGACCCAACCACAGCTTGCATGAATCCAAGAAAACAAAATTTAAGAGACTGAAAACTACAAGGCTCATTAGACACATATGAGCACCTGTACAGAGCAAACCGGCCAAGTAATGTGAGTATGCGACCTTTGTTCATCTTCTGTGACGTGAACAAGGGTATCATCTTACAACAAAATAATTCCTTTAGAGGCAGTTCAATTATTAATGATGCACGGGCAGCAATTCATTTGTTTCAACTGAAAAAAGAACTTTATCCAACCATTTATTGCCTCTAATTTAAGTTTAATATTAAAAGTATTTTAGCAATTCAAACTTGAGCATAAGGTTCAGCCTTTCAATACAACAATAAGAATAAAGATTTGTAAGTAATAGCAGTGAATCAAATTATTACTTACAGCTTTGCAAAAGCCACAATGGGAAACCGAGATGCTGAATTATTTAAGAATCCATGAAAAACTCTTTATCTCAAGATATCAACATCAAGATAAACTTAGGTAAAGAAGAGCACAACAGATCTAAGTTTAGATCAATTCATCCATTGTATATAGATATTATTAAATATATTAGTAAATAAATGAATAAGAGGAGCAAGTGTAATAGTCTGGAATTTTTTCATTACATACCTTTTAGGACAGCTTAGGTTAATTTATTGAATTTTATTCTGTGAAATAATTTGAATTTCTCACTCCTAGTCAATCAATTCTATTACTCAAGCCCTAAAAGCAACAGAAATTCAATCTCTTCTCTTTTCTTATGAGAAATTTTCTTACCAAGACTATTTTTCTTTAGCATTGTTATATGTTGGTCGCAGACATTAATAACAAAAATAAAGCATTAGTCTCAAATGATTTGGGGTTGGCTAACATGAGTCATCATAAGGAACTGTTCACAAAAGTGAAACAAGAAAAGTAATGAAGAAAGTTAAAGAAAGTAAAAGATTAAATGAAAGTGGAAGAGCAAGAGGCAAAGGCAGTGTAAATTGGAAACCCAAAAGATATCTTGGTGAAGTTTTATGAAAGAGGGCCAAGAGGAGATAAAAAGATAGGGAAAACACATAAGAGATTTGAGAAAGCCTTACAAAAGGAATTAAAAAAATTTGCAAAACACAAGGAGATTCATAGAGAAATTAAGAGTATACAATGAGTTTCATGTCCTCTGCTTAAACTTTCCCCCTCCACTCTGCCCTGTCCAACACCATATTTTCCTTGAACCCCAATGAATCATATCACTCTCAATCACCTTCCTCCAAGAATAATTTTTTTTTTTTTTTACCTTTCCCAAATGGAATCTAGACTAGAGTTACTAACTTATATGTGTTCTAATATTCAATTATGATATTTGCACAAAGCAGTCATATATAACTTCAACTCAGAAAGTTACTGCTCTAATACAGACAAAAAATAAAAATGTTCAAGCAATAATCTATTTTCACTGATTACTAAAGTATTACCAACTATATATCAAAGACAAGCAATTTGGAAAAAGCATAAATGAAGATGCAGTTTCGAAATTTACAATAGATTACACCTCAAATACCAGTCACGCACATTAGAACTAGCTAGATGTTTCAAGTTTACATGGCAAATAAGCAAAACATATGGATAAAGCAAGGATATCAGTCAAAAAGGCACTAAAAATTGCTAGAAATAGGGACTGTAAATGCAAAAACCTACACATGATCAAGAAAAACAAGTTAACTCGTCCATATTAAAAAAAAAAATTGACTCAACATGCTAGCAGAATAGAATGACTAGAGCAGAGACTTCATGTAGTACAAAATTACAAACCACAGATTATGACAATCAGCTCATAAACATTACTTTACCAATTGACGCAAGTTCAAGAATCCAGAAAGCCAGCAAGGAAAAAAGAAGCTTACAAATAATCGAATTCAATCGTGCACTCTGTCCCCTCCTCTTGCCAGGAACACGACGAATCACAGTTTCTTCTTTTTTATGCTCCTCCTGTATATTGTCACCATTATTTTGTAGCAGATGTGTTACACAATTATCGTCCCCCAATAGAACCAGACTTTCCGAATAGACTTCTGCATGTGGAGCAAAGTATGAGCCCAGGGGCTGAAGATCCATTATTTCTACAGCTTCCACAACCGGGTAGCCAATCCAGCTACCAGGTCCACAGAGTATGAGTCCTCCATTCCTATTGATGCTAATTAAGTGTTTCCATCCTATTACAGGGTGCATATCCAACTCAATTGAGAGTAGTTTGGTCCACGACTCTTCCACATTATACTCTTTCATGACCCATATGTCATATCGATACCCAGGAAATTGGTGGAGCAGGAAAATAGTTCCAGAGGATCCCACAATCCGATGATCTGAGTCAATATTAAGTTTCCCACCCTGCGGACATGCCATTTCCAAAAAAGTCTCAGCATTCAGACTAAATGACACGATACAGCACTGATTATCATCTTTGCGAGTCAAGAAATGGAGAGCGCCATTAACAAAAACAGGAACACTTAGTTGCTGCAAGGGCACAAAATTATTGACACATCTCCATGATTTAGTATTCAGTGAGAAAATGTCAGCAGAGCATACAACAGGTTTGGTTAAAAAAGACAAAGGCCTTCTGTCAACTCTCCTACTTTCTGAGAAACTAGAAAGGCAAAAGGCAATCCTCAAAATCTTATAGTCATTAGCCAAAGCATCAAAGCCAAACCCAAAAGACAATTTTAGGCAAGCCGATGATCTACTATCAGACACATTACAATAAAATGGAACCTGATAAGACTTTCTGATGGCAGGGTTCCACAGAGTCACAGGGTTGAGTTCATTAGTGTCATCCCATAAGCAAATCAAGCCATTAACACAACTTACAATTGTGTAGTAGCTCCCTTGAGTCCTATCAAATGGAAAATCCAGTTCCCCAATTGTCCTAAAAGGACTAAAACTACACTTTTCATCATATAAAGAGTAGATTTCTTTCTTTTGGGTGTTGCAGAAGTGCCTAAAGAGAATATTATAGTTACCAATTGCATGGTTGTGAAGTTTGTGTAAAGAAATGAAATTGGAACTATTAATGAGCAAAAACCAGGATTTGCAAACAGACCTGAATCGCAGCAGAGACTTTGTAGGCAATCTCACCAGGAATTGCAGCACCAATTCTTCTGGAATATCACTCATTTTTTATTTTTTATATATTTAATTTTTTATTTTTTATTTTTTAATTTTCAGGGATCAAGGAGAATGGGGGTGTAGATGAATCCAAAACCAGATTTAAAAAGGTGAGAGAATGGCTACAGAATATATGAAGACGGGCTATGCATAAGCCAAGGCACAGAAACTAAATGAAGGAGTTGGAAGAGAATGGGTGTCCTGAAAACCTAGTCCACTATGCCTTTTGACTTTAGGTCATCAAGGCTCCATTTACATTAAGTAAAACATCCCCAAAAACTTTAAATCATATCAAAGTGAATCCAAAATGATACAGCTCATATTAACTGATTTAATAAATTTGTCAGAATGGGAATGAATCATTTCTAGTATAAAAGCATATTGATATGTTACCATATCAAAACCACAGGTATGATCAGATTGGTTACATAATATATATATGCAATAAATATTAATTAGGTGGAAAAAAATTGACTTTAGGCCCTGTACTTTTCACCTTATTTTTGCTTAACTGACTGATGAGAAATTATTTTTGCCGAACTCAAATTATTTTTAGTTCATTTTAGTGAGCTGAAATTATTTTTGCCAAACTGTTTTTTTTTTTTTCAATTCTTTGTTATATTTCTTCTTTAAAGCTAGACCCTATTCACTTCACCATATTTTTGCTGAATTGAAATTATTCTTTACAATTATTGATTTTTATTGATCTTAACTTATTTTTACTGAACTAAACTTATTTCTACGGAACTGAAATTATGTGAGCTGAGCTTATTATTGCTGAACTGAACTCATTATTACTAAACTGAGATTATTTTTTACTGGATATACTTGTAAATGTAATCTTAATGATATACTTCTTTAAAGGTGAAAAGAACAGGGCCTTGCCGATGTGATCTTAATGATATACTTTCTCCGTTCTGTTAATATTGCAACAATGGATTTTTTGCACTATTCATCACTCTAGTTTGACCATATAATATGATTCATTCGTTAAGCAAAATATAGTCATGTGGGATCTTGTTGGATTCATCTCATAAAATACTTTCACAATATCAACTTTTTATAATTTTTACTCTTACACAATTATAAATATTTAGCATATAAAATGTGCATAGGGATGCGTAATTTCCTCCTTGTTGCAATATTAATAGAACGGAGGAAGTACTTGTTACGAACTAAACGGTAAAACGCTCCATAACAAATTATGATATTGAATACTAATGCAAGGAGGAAACTCCAAGAAAAGTATAAATGCATAATCTTATTCAAGACAAATTTTTTAAGAAAGATATAAAATTCTAAGGAAAAATTATCAAAAATAATACAACCTTTAAGCGGTCCGCCAAAAACAAGTCGACCTTTTGATTATTTCTAAATAATACTACCTTTATTCATCCCCCACTCTCGAAAAACCTAAACAGACCTCCCCTTAACCACTCTCTTCCCCTTACCCACCAATTGCCTCCCCGAAAGTCCGAAACTCCTCTCCCTCACCCACAAAACCCCCTAAAATCATCCCCCACGCTCGAAAAACCTAAACCAGACCTCCCCAACCATCGACGGCGGCTTCAGTTAAGGTTTTTGGGAGGTTTTGTCGGGGGAGAAAGGGGGCATCAGGGATGGGGTTGGTTGTACGCGCGACAAGGGGAACGGGGTCGGGGTCACCGTTGGCGCTGGGGTATGGGCATGGCCGGCGTCGGGAATGAAGAAGGTGGCAGCGGTGGCTGGTGGGGAAAATGGGTGGGGATGGGGTTTTTTTTAAAAATAAATAAAATAAAGTAAAAATCATAATGAAACTAAAAATTAAATAAATAAAAATTAAATTAATTTCATACCAATAAACTAATGACACATGTCCCACATAAGTTAATAACCGGTCATAACTTGTTTTAAGCGGATACCCTATAAAGGTAGTATTATTCAGAAATAATCAAAAGGTCGACTTGTTTTTGGCGGACCGCTTAAAGTTTGTATTATTTTTGACAATTTTTCCAAATTCTAAAACAAACATCTTAAAATAGCTAAAGGTAACAAAGTCCTAAACCTTATTCTCTATTTACACTTCCTTTTATTTTCAAGGCCATTTTGTAATTAAATATGTGCTTATTTATTTCACCACAACAAAGTTCTGGAAGAATAAGTCAAATAAGACGCAAATAAATATGAACACTTAGTTGCTTGAAGAGCTTATGTAAGCAGACATCTAGCATTACATGGATAGATAAAGCCAGCTACACACCTATGTCCTTCCCATCTCCTTAATAAGTAATAATAGTCTTTGTTGCTGACCTGTTCAGAGCATATACTACACTTATGAATGGATCCAAAAACAATGAAATTATAGTATTGAGTTATGCTTGAATTTAAATGGGTAACTAAATCAGATCAATTAAGACAAAATCACTGAGCTGACTGTTGAGCTGGCAGACTTGTGATAGTTTGTTTAATTTGGGATTGGATAAATCTAAAACCCTTCACCAGCCCAGCACCAATACATAAGTAAGAAGTTGATTAATGAACAGAGACAGTGAGGCCAAAATTGCATGATTACAGTTGGGAATGAACAACTCCCACTGAGGTTCAGAAATTTGACAAACTTTTAAATAAAACGGATGTTCAGTAAATTACTGAACATTCGTTATAAAGTGACAATAAAATGTGCAAAAGTTACACCTAAAACGCACAAAAGTTACCCTGACATATATAAAAGTTATTTATGCTTCATTGATAAATTTGACAAAAGTGACACTAAATTTGACAAAAGTGACACTAAATCTGACAAAAGTGTACCCGATGTACAGTAAATTACTGAAAACCGGGTGTATACAAAAGTTTTCCCAGAAATTTACCTTATTTCAAGAGCTTGCTACTTATTAATGTTTGAATCAGACCGAATCACATTAGACCAGACCTGATGCAGATCACACCAAGCAATAACTTATTTCAATTATCTAATTTGTAAACATCTTTAATTGCGTATCAGTAAAATAAAAAAATAAAAAAAATATTTAAAAAAAAGAAAAAAAAAACTAATATAAAGCAGAAATTTGGAAAACTAAAACTGAGAAGAAACTAACAAGATCCCACATAATAATATTTTTCTGAAAATTTTATGTTAAAATACGTCAAAGTCTAGTCAGAGCAGGAGAAAGAGCCACCGTATCTGTTCAATATCACTACTGTAATGATAGAAACCTGCAGCTTAGCCTAAAGGGGAATACGCTCAGTAGAGCTCCTATAACCCATCCCATTTAGCTAAAAGATATTAAAACCTCCAATTATCTATTTATCTAACAAAATTTTTAACAAGGATATTGCTAATGGTATTTACCATGGAAGTCATACTTTAGATGATAGCGTTGCTGAGCTCTCTCTTGGGCTGTGAAAGCAGCACGAAAGAGGTTGGGCTACTTTGCGTTTCCAGAAAACGGACCTATATTCAGAGGTCCCGGAATCCCTACAGGCATTTCTGATCCAGATGCTACGAATGGATCCATCATATTGAGTTGGTTGGAATCTGAAACATCATTTAATAAAGATTTTCATACCTACATTCCGGGTCCAAACAAGCTTGTTACATGAAATGCACCAAAAACAAAACAAGCGACCCTGAAAAGTAATTAATAAATTTCAATGATCCTAGGCAAATCCAAAGAAGGTTTTACTTATGATCATCTAGATCCCAAAACACTTGGATTTGTGTAGAACAATGCACCACCAACAAACATGGTAGGATAAAAACAAGACCTGATCCTGTCAATTTACAGCATTTCATACCAACTAACCGCATCAAAATATTCCTAACATAAACAAAGCGCTTCTTCCGGAACACTCACATAATACAAATGTAAAAAAGTAAGATAGATGAATGAATATAAATAAATAAGTACAACAGAATTTCCTAAATTTTACAGAAGAATAACAAATGAATGACTTTGTTAAAAGGCAAGCAATGAGGCCACAAAATTAAACAAACAAAAAGAAACTACACGGAGGGAAAGAGAAATAAACCATAACACATACAGAATATTATATTGGGTAAATTCAGATATAACATATGCATTTGTCCAAGTATCAAACATGTCATTACCTCAGCAACTTCAGCAAAATATGTTCTCTGGCATGAGAGATAAGTTGCCAGACTACTAAGGAAATCGATCAAACAATTCTAACTAAATGCTTCCTAGTTTAAATATGAAATGATGGCAAGAATTGTAAAGTAATCCCAGTAGACCAAACAACAATCAGCACAAGTACTCAAGAAAATAAAAAGAATGAAAGAAATATTTCGTCTTAAATCCAAGCATCTGAATTCATTATAAACAATAAGTAAACTTTCACTGAGGTTGATAACCTAATTACATTGAGATAGCTGATTTGATGATTACATCGATTGGCCTATTCTAATACTTTTTATGAGATTGTTATTTCCAGCTGCCAATTGCCATAAACAATTTCATTGGAAAAAATCTAACTCATGAATCTAATACTAGTACGTGTAAAATTTAACTTGTGCAATACAATTATACTCACAATTAGGTAATATATGTGAACTCATACTCAAAGAGCATGACATATAAGTGCAAAACAAGCAACCAAATTCATTCATAAGCTTATCTATTACAAATTTATGATACAAATTACTTCCTTTACTTACGTATTTATTTATTTATTATTGCAGAATGTTAGGGGTTGTACAATAATTAAGAAGATCATATAACAAGAAGAGAAAAAGAAAGAAATATTAGAGGGACCCAAGAGATGAGGAATGACATAGCTCATATAAGTCAAATCATATGCAGGTAATGTTGCAATTAACAAACAAATTGTTCAAAATTTAACTACCATACTGAAAATTACCAACACTGATTATTCTACACAAAAGAATTTACACCAATTTCAATCACAATAGACACGCACACAAACCACACAAATTGAACTAATCACAAGTAGGGTACCTTAATAGCTCTTCAAATTTGGTTTTCGCCTCCAATTCCTTGTATCAAAACCTTACAATTATATTCCAGGTTAAGAAGAGTAACCAAACAGTTCATCGAAGTATCAAACCCAAGCCTGAGATCTCTCTACTTCTCACAAGTAGGTAGTAGCAGATCTGATCCATCATTGTTAACAAAATGGTTACCATGATCTCCATAAAAGAAAACAAGGCCATCTGCACCTCTTCGTGGATTGCCACTGATCATCAATACTCCAGTTCTGGTTGGAAACTACTTCTCTGGCAGATCAACCTTCAATAAAAACAACACACTTGATGCTTGAACAAGTAAAATCAAGTTCTAAAATTACAATATGCTGCAACTACACAGTAGCCATTATACTCGAGAGTCAAAGATTCTTTCAGTGACATTTAACATAATATAAAACGTAATGCAAAGCATAAATATGATTTCCACAACCCTAGGTCAAACCATGAAAATGTTCTTACTAGCTAACCTTCCATATTACAACCCTAGGTCAAACAATGAAAATGTTCTTACTAGCTAACCTTCCATATTACAACCCTAGGTCAAACAATGAAAATGATTTTACTAGCTAACCTTCCATATTGATCACGTCGCACTAATGTTTCAGGAAATGGAATAAATGAATTTATGGATTTCCTACTATCTAACAATCCCCTTAATTGTAATAAATAAATCACTTTGCTTACTCAATTAACCATATGAGATTATTTTTGTCTTTCTTAATTTGTACAATTAGTCAATAATCAACATTCAAGCAAGCAGTTTACTACTGCAAAGAAAGCAATACCAGGTTACAACACTCGGGACAAGACTTTACAACTCTTAATTGTTAACCAATACAATTATAATGCAAAACTCTAATTTACTTTCTTATTATGTGATTACTAATTATTTAAGGCTGAGAGTTAATTTGGCCCTCGTCACTGGCCAAACCTCGCTTCGCCTCCAAAAACACTCCATCAAAAAATCGAAACACACAAATGAAAGCTTATGATCAATTATATAAACAAGAGTATTGCTTTACAAATGCTTTTGGGTACTGAACCAATCCAGTTTTTGATTTGGGTATTGAACCAATTCATAAAGTCCCAATTTAGAAATAAAAAATAAAATAAAAAACTCAGAAATTTGCAGAATATCAAAGGAAACCACAAACCCCTTTTGTCTGCACCTGCAATTCCATGTCTCTGAATTCGTGGGAGCAAAAGGGGATTAATAATCCGGAAAATGGCAATGTAAAAATCCATTATAATTCAAAAAAAGTTAAGCAATTTTGAAAGAAAATTATTAGACACCCATTAATTTACCTAAGATGCAGTATACTGGATTGGATTTTTGGATAAATTCATCTGGATAAATCCCAATTAATGGGTAGTGTAGTAGTAGTGTTGCATTTTTATGATGAATGAATTAATTAATAAGGGTGAAGAACAAGAGAAGCCGAGAAGGTGATGGGTCCGTGGTACTCACTCCGTTTTTTTTTTTGTTACAGTTTGACGGACACATAGTTTAGACAATTAAATTGACAAATACTCCCTCCATTTTTAAATATTTGTTCCATTTCTTATGTATATAAATCATAAACATTAGTCAACATAGGACAAATGAATAGTGCAAAAAGTAGAAATGGAGCAAGTATTTAAAAACGGAGGGAGTATTGAATGTGAGAGAATAAATATAATAAAAAAATGTAGTACGTAGTGGGTTTGGGTGGGGACCATGAGAGGATAGAGATATAATATTATAATGTAGATTTTTTCCAAAAAAAAGGAAGTGTAATACTTATTAAAACACGGGCGGATTTAGGGCTTGTTCATATTTACTTATTTTCAGTTCAGTTCAGTTCAGCTCCAATCAGTTCAGTTCAGTTTAGTTCAGTTCAGCTCCAATCAGTTCAGTTCAGCTCTTAATTTCCCTCTCTCATAAAATATTCATTTCAGCTTAGTTCAATTCAGTTCAGTTCAGTTCAGTTCAGTAAATATGAACAGACCCTTAATAAGAGTATACCCAATGAATGACCCAAAATTCTTGGTAATGGATTATATTATAATTTCTTCTTTTTCCACTCATCTATGACCAAATCACATTACCAACCATGACCAAAGACTCCCAATATTTGCCCAAAATAAATTTGGTCATGCTTGAAGTTGTTGCTCAATACATGCAAATAGCCATCTCCATCTTCCAATAAAAAATAGCCACTTGTCAAATAATAGCTTTATGACCAAACTTTTAGCTTGGTCATTACAAAGACTACGTCATGAACCTCTTTCATCCTTTATTTCTTTCTTCCATTTTTTTTAATATAAAAAGTCTTTTCTCTCTCCTCATGGGTCATCCAATAGCCACACTCTAAGTGTAACACTTAAAAAAAACACGGAGGGAGTAGCAATAACTATAACTTTGGGATTTGGATGGTAGTAAGATAAAATAAAAAATTAAACCGATAGTAAATGTGAAGTAAGGGGCTTTCGCTGGTAGCAAATGTCAAATTTTCCTAAATGTTATTATATAATATATCATTAAATTCGTCATAATGTCTATTTTTATAATATAATTTTATTATAATTTTTACTAATTAACAATTAAATATATTAATGGTCAAAGTTGTGCCTTGACAAATGTGCAGGTCAAACTGATGCAAATAAAAAAAAACAGTGGGAGTAAAAAAATATGATATGGAGTATGATAGTAGACCCACTCGCATTATATCTCCAAAATGCTACTCTCTTCGTTTTTTAAGTGCTCCATAAGAGTGTACGCGGTGTTTTAGACACAACGATAATATATAAGTAGGTATGGTTAGAAATAAAAGATTTGGAAAAGTAAGAATGAGAAATATGAAAGGGGATACTTTAGGCATAATGTTTTTTATTGATGGAAATATAATAAGCATAATCTGATAGGGAGAAATATTATAAAATGATTATGAGGTCAAAAGGAAGAAAGAAAAATAATACTCAGTATATAATGTGAATGAAATTTCTAAATTTGATTATGGAGCACTTAAATTAAAGCGGTCGTTTTCATAAAATAAGACTTTTTTTTTTTTTTTAAAAAAAAAAAAAAAAGGTATACTAACCCTGCCACCGCCTGATAGCCCCATTTGAAGTGAAACGCTAAACATCGCCCGCAATTTACCATATAAAGCCCACAAATATGATATGATTTGACCATTATGCCCTTTTTCTAAAATTGAAATAATCTCGGTGTAAAAAATGTGGAGCCGTACTGGCTCGCCGGGGGAGACCGGAGGGCAGGCCGGAGATGCGGGGGACGCCGGAGGTACGTCGTCGTCGACGGAAAACGAGGTAAGTCACCGTTAAAATTCACGGTTTACCGTCGGAGTGGCTCCGGCGCCTAGGGTGGACGCCCAAACCGTAGCCTGGACGTCCAAGCCAGACGCCAGAACCACCAGAGTGGCGTCCAGCCCAGACGCCCAGACCACCAGACTGGCGTCCTGGGCAGACGCCACTCCACTGGGTGAGGCGGCCCTGCCAGGCGCCAGTCCAGTGGCTGTGGCAGCCCTGGCAGACGCCACCTTTAATAATTAATTTTTTTTTTTCTTTTTTGATTTTGTTGTTGTTTTTTATTTAATTTTTTTGTAAAAAAAAAAATCGAAAATGATTTTTTAAAAAAATTCGAAATGGGTTTTTTGTAAATTAAATTTGAAAATTCGAAATAGGTTTTTTTAAAATTAAATTTGAAAATTCGAAATGGTATATTTTTAAATTTAGTTTGAAAATTCGAATTGGGTTTTTATAAAAATTAAGTTTGATTATATATAATTATGTTTTTTTTTGTGTTAATTCTGTGTAAATATAGAAATTAAATGTATTATCCGTTAAATGTATTTATTGTAATATATAATTGATGCAGGAATATGGTGGAGACGGAAATGATTACAGTGGGATATTTGGACATGATGGTCCATTCGAAGAAGCTCAACAGGCGATTGATTGGGCAAAACAGGTTGCAATTGCAGCTGGATTTTGCTTGGTAGTAGCAACTCATAAATCTCAACGGGATGGTAGAATGGATCGCATTTTGAGATGTGACCGTTATCGCAAAAGAGAAGAAAGAGATTTTCGTACAGCCACTCGGTTTGACACAAAGCGGAAAGGTTGTGGGTGTGAGTTCAGAGTAAAGGTTCGACAACTACGGAGTCGTGACGGTTGGGAAGTGATAGGTTACTCTAAATGGGGGTATCACAACCATGAGATGATAGTATATGAAGAGGGTCATCGACAACTGAGCGGCTTAAGTCCTGCTGCGAAACTAGTTGTGAAAGGAATGAGTGATGCTCAAGTGAAGCCTGCTAAAATATTAGCATCTGTGTTAGAGAAATTTCCAGAAGACCATCCAAACCGAAGACACATCTACAACGTCAGACAGCAACTCAGGTTTGAACGGTCAGAGGGAAGGAACCCTATACAACAGCTGCTACACCAGGCACAATCACGTGGTTACCTGTTCTGGTTTGATTCTGATGAAGATACAGCGGAGGTGACTCATCTTTTCCTTGTGCATCCTGATTGTGCTGATATGATCAAGTCTTGGCCATTTGTGATTTTGATCGACTCAACGTACAAGACAAACAAGTACAAGTTCCCTCTGGTTGAGATGGTTGGGATGGCTCCAACGAACCAGAACTTTCTGATTGGTCATGCAATCATCAGGGATGAGACGGCTCCAAGTTATTATTGGGTGTTGGAGAAGCTGAGAAACTACATCGGGCCTAATGTTCATCCAGCAGCCATCGTCAGCGACTGTGAGGGAGGTCTCTTTGCCCCCATAGCAGAGCTGTTTCCCGAATCGAACCACTTATTGTGCACATGGCACATCAACAACTGCGTGAAAGTGAAAGCCTACAACCTTTTCAAGAAGAATTTGGAAATGGCAGAGAGATTGGTGAATGGTAAGTGGCGGAAGATCCTACAGGCTACCACAGATGTTTTTCAAATGGGCGAAGACAACTACGGTTTGGTGCGTGAGTTGATGTACAGCGAAATTGCCTCTAACCGAAATGTTTATCGTCATGTGTACCAGGATGACTTGGATGGCGCTCTGCGGCGTATCCGGTGGGGAGGTGGACCTTGCGGTGAAAATCATTATTTTGACGCGCCCCTAGATCTGTTTGCCGTTGCAAACATTTACAAATGCGCAGTCATGCATTTTGGCCTGGGAGTGCATAGTCAAGCTTATTATCCTTGTACCACGGTTCTCCCTTGGCGGTCGCGTGAGACTGTCACCACACCGGTCAGAGAGCTAGCTATTGCGTTTCTTGGGTCGTCATACAGACATTTCATCCGACTAGACATGTCAACCGATTTTCTGGTGCCACCGATTATACCTCGGTGGTACAACATTCGCACAACGAGCGTAGAGGGTTGGGATGCGCTATATAATGACCGGATCCACGAATGGAACACCCTAGCTGCATTTTAGTTTTTCATGTTTACATTCTTTATTTGTAATCTTATTTGTACGTTGCTCTTTTAATGAAAACATTAATATTTTATATTGTATTGCTTACTGCATTCTATATGTTGCATGGGTAAGTTGCGCGGATCCACGAACGGTTATATCAAAATTTAAAAACAACACTGATAATATGTTTAAGTTGGAAGTTAAAAGAACAATCTAAAATGTTACAATTTTACAACATAATGTCCAACATAATGCTCTATAAATAAAATACAATAACCATCAGTAATCCCTCCTCGACGACGACTCCCACTGCGCAAGGGTCTGTTCCAGACTATCAACAACAGCTCTCCCTGTTGCACTCATGATGTCCTTCTCAAGAGAGAGTTTCTGTACGTCCTGCATTATCTTTCCCATCCACTGCATACAACAAAAAACAGAAGATGAAATACAATAACAACAAATAAAACTTAATTTAAAGACAACGATAAATATAATAAAAGACATACCGCTTCCGTGGCAGTAGGCGGTGGCACATAATCATCATCGCTGTGGTCGAGATCAGCGATCAACCTCGGGTGCGAATACCGGTTGAACCATTCCATGTAGTAATGGTCACACATGGGAGTAACCCCAGAGGGCGGCCGCTGCAACTCCGCAGTCCATAAGCGGGCCACCATTGGAAACTGGTCCCACGTCCCGGTCATGATATCCGGCCATTCCACGACGTAGTCCCTCGACGATGCAGGTCGGACCGCCTTCATCGGGCACGCCGGGGGAGGAGGGACAACTTGGACAAATCCAAGCTGGCGAAGACAACGCTGGGGCATGTACGCCTCGACGATGTCACGATACTGAATGAGTCCCGTGTACAGGGTCCTGGGTACCCTAACACTAGGGTTCGGGCCGAAAGGCATCCAGTTCACCTGTACAATAACAACATATAAAATTTAATAACATGAATATAATATGTGCAAATAATAAAATGTAGACTCTATAAATAAACGTTACCTCTAAGGGGGACAGCCTGTCCAGCAATAACCGTATCGATCGGAGGCGGTCAACGGACTTCTTCTCCGAGCGCGGACTCCACGCACAAGCACGCGGCATCCCCTCATCAATAGGAACTGGGTCACGATGTGGTCGCAATGCAGGAAAGTACTCGTATATCCAGGTCTGCAATAGAGTCAGACACCTAGTAATACCTGCCGCGTCAGCCCGACTCGCAAATCCTAGTTGGCGATACAAATACGCCAACGTAGCCGATCCCCAGGAAAACTGGCCTACACTGTCGGGGTCACACGCCTCTACGATGTCGCGTGGCCTGAGCTTGTTTCCGCCGCTCTTATCCGGAAACAAGGTACATCCGAGGAGTAGAAAAACATAAGCACTCAGCTGTGCGTCGGGTGTCCTACGTGCACTCGGGTACAAACACCGCTGCAACACGGATGCGATCTTCACACCTCCGTGTTCCCAAACACCTAGCGCCTTGGTGTACAGTGCAGCCCTGTCCATCGCCAACAACTCCGCCAGCGAATCTGCCTGATCCGCATCAGCCACAGCACAAAGTCGTTTACCCTCAACACGAATCCCCAGAATGGCCTCGACGTCATGTAACATGATCGTCATCTCACCGAACGGAAGGTGGAAAGAATTTGTATCCGGCTGCCATCGCTCAATGAAAGCCGTGATCAGCGTACTGTCAATCTTATCGTGCATGGTGGCAGGAACGTGCTTCACCCCAGTGCCCTCCAGTCGCTCGAACGTCTCGCTCTCCGCCGGCCAGGCCTCAGCCCATGTACGCAAAAAGCTACAAGTCTTTTCCCGGGTATGACATTTCAACAACCCCGTAACTGAAGGCCTCTCCTGGTCCTCCCAAATACGGGCAGCTATGTGTCCTAGAAAGCTAGGAATCACACTCCCGTCAACAGGCCCACCGGGCACCTCACTCCTAACAACCCAAGAATCATTACCGGCCCTCAACCGTTTCCTGCTTGCCCCAGATACAGTGGACGCAGATGATGTGCCAGATCTACTAACAAACCTACCACCCCTACCCTTACGCACCTCCACCATATGCGTCTCGTACATGTCATCAACCCTCTGACTGAATGGACCGTAATCATCATACGGTCCACTGCCATCGTCCACATCCTCATCCTCATCTGCGCCCTCCTCCTGCTCCTCCTCCTGGTCACCCTCCTCAGCATCATCATCGTCATCGTCATCCTCATCCCGACGGTGGATCTGTTCTCTACGAACTGAGGCCGAAATACCACGGGATCTGACATGTCTATGCCCCGACCTCTCCACTGAATAACTTCTACTAAGAAGCTCTATATTCTTCCCCGCACCATGACGACCCAGTGAATTCTACACAAAATTTTAAAATATATAAACATACAAAAATTTATACGATAAATAATCATCATCGCAAATCAAATAAACTAAAAACATACAAATAATTGTAAACAAAATATAAACGTAGAAAAAATACAACGAAATTGAAAAAATTTATAAAAATAAACAACAAAATATAAAAACAATTCAAAATTATATTACACAAAAAAAAAAAAAAATTAAAAACAATTTTTTTTTAAAAAAAAAAAAAAAAAATGGGGGGGGGGCGCCCTGGCTGGACGCCCAGCCAACGGTGGTGGCGCCAGCTGCAGACGCCGCCACCAGTTGGCTGGCGCCTGGGCTGGACGCCACAGCCACGGCTGCGGCGCCTTGAATAAACGCCACAACCGTGGCTGTGGCGTCCAGCCCAGGCGCCAGCCAACTGGTGGCGGCGTCTGCAGCTGGCGCCACCACCGCTGGCTGGGCGTCCAGCCAGGGCGCCCCACCGCGGTCACGGCGGTTTTTCCCTTTTTTTTTTTTTTTTAACAAAATGTACCTTTCCTCCTTGGAACATCCTTCCCTCCGCCGCCGCCGCCAATTCCTTGCCTTGCCGCCTCGACATTGCCGTTATTTGAAATTTTTTTTTTTAGAGAGGTTGAAAGAAGATGAGTAATGAGAGTGTGAGTGATGAGAGTGTGAGTGTTTTTTTTTAAGGTCAAGGGCAATTTTGGCAAACCAAGTGAATTTTGTGGGCTTTATGTAGTAATTTGTGGGCGATGTTTAACAAATCCCCATTTGAAACCCCCACCTGCTTTCCAATAGCCCACTCACTCTCCGACAACCCCCCATCCTTTAACAACAACCCTATCCAAAACCCCCATTCCTTCACGACACCACTAACGGTTCCCTGCTCCCAACGGCCGAGGTGGAGGTTTATGATGTTATTGTTGTCAAGGAGCGGGGTTGTTGGAAAATGGGTGGGGTTATTGGGAAGAGGTGGGGGTTTATGACCGAGTTTCGTAGAGATAGAAGTAGAAAACCGAAGGAAGATAATTGAATGGGCCCCACAAATGGAATAGTAACAGTGGCAATTAAATGGATGCAAAATCTATATACTGTATTTTAGCTTTTGCTGATAATAAAATAAAAATAAATTTTAAATAGGTACGGAGAAGTAAAATTCAAAGTGTTGTAGTTAAGTGGTAATAAAAGTCAAAATTTTGATGAACATCCTTACTCAAACAAAATTAACATGACACCCTACATTTCTCACTCCTTGCTCAACCTTGTCTTGATGAACAATTACACATTTCCTTTCTTAATCATGAACCAGAGAAAGAAGTGAAATTGCAATTTTAAAACCTTCAATTTCACTCCTTGCTCAACCATTCTGATTTATTTTGAGTTTAGTTGCAGTCTTATAGATGCAAGAATCAGAAAGTACAATCACCCATCAAATCTTTTGTAAACATCAAGTGTTAGCCGATAGTTTACAAGCATAGCCACTAAAAGTGATGCTCTCTTAAAGAAATCAATTGAACTCATCAGATTTTCTTCCAATGAAGAAATGAGTCATAATATAATCTTAGATGTATTATGCACACAGTACAACCAATTCTACAACAGATTTTGCCCCTTGTACCTGTCATAAACAAGCATAGCAGACTAAAATCAATAGGTTTGTAGGTTATAGTTTTGATTCACCACTACTTTAAAAAAATATCTAATTTGTAGTTTCAGATATCATGTAATGCAAATGTTTATCTGATTGACAAATCACACTCAGATGCTAATCATCAGTAAACCTTGGAAAACTTATATTCAGCCAACTGGTATGTTCCAGTCAAATGAAGAGCTAAACACTTTCAATATTTGAAACCAGGAAAGCATTTAGTTTTGATATGCAGTATAATCAAATTTCAAACTCATACTAAAATCTCAATTAGTGTACCGAGAACAACGGGACGAAACAAAACCAGAACAAAAGAAAATAACAACCTGCTTATGAGTTTGCAACAAGGTTTTAAACCTTTAAGGCAGCTGCAGTAGAGGTTGGAGTACTGAGAACTAGAGCATATAACTAAATGAAAATGACAAGCTGCTAAAGAGTTTGCAACAGTGACTTTAATAAACTAAGGCGACTACACCAATGTCCCGGTCTCCAGATTTGATGGCTTATGCTTCTCTCTGACTGATATCCCCATGAATATCACTCGATCTCAGTTTTCCTGTGAATTTTCAGGAAAAGCATAAGCAACTTTCACAACTAAAGAAATTTCATCAAACATCATCTCAATGGCATCTATTATTTTGAATTACTCTGCCGACTTTATTTCCATTAACAACCAGATAAGATTTTGATACAAAATAGATTATAAAAGAAGACACTTTTATTTATACTAACAAACAGCAAAGAGTCAGCATACACCTTAGCAACTTCCTGTACTTAGCAAGCTATAGCATTTTTATATACAGACTCATGCATGCCAGACATACTCATTAGTAACAACATAGATGTAGTTAAGGGCCTGAATTCTTTTTTCCCTTAGGAAAGAAACTGGAAAAGAACTGTAATATACTATTGTGCAGAAGAATGTACCACACACTTAGAAATCCACTTTAAGGGAAATAAATAGTGTCCATCATACCATAACAATACAAACTAAAACGGGAATGTGAGCTACTGAAATATTTCTACTTCTCAAATGCAACAATGAAAAATCTGAGTTGGCTAAAGAAATCACATGCTTGCTTCAAAAAGTCTAGGATAATAGGATCTCTAAAATTGAATCTTAAGATTCATCATTTAAAGGAAAACTTGGTCACAACAACACATAAAGGTGTGTGTAGCAGCACAACCTTTCAAAGGCGCGGTCCACATCACAAACTATATAATTAGATGCACATAACAGGCTAACAACATAATGTCATAAAGGACACCAACAAACTAAAATTCCATGGGAAAAGTGGAATCTTCAATATTTTCTTGTTTTAAAAATATTTTTTAAACTTACATGATTTTTTTATCACACGTGACTATGTTATCCTTCCCTTCTATAAATTAATTTAAACACTTCTTAACCTCCACCATTAAAGCGATTCAAAAAGTTTTCGCCACTATTTTCCTTCATTCGATTCTTCAGTTACTTTTTTTTTTTGTATATCGATCTCATGTGATAGACTTAGTTTCCTCTCTCTCCACTGAGTTAATTACTAAATTGATAAATTACAGAAAATCACCCGAAAACCATTTTATTCCACCAAATTTCATGAAACATAAGTCACATTCTAATACCAAGCCCAACAAAATGGTTTAAAATACTTTAAAAAAATATATATATAATTAGATTTTAGGATAGATCAAATTAATTTTCAGGTTTTTGATGTACAACACTTTAATGCTGGAGGATGAGAGAGATAAAGAGGGATTAAATACACTAGAAAAAACAAAGAAACTAATTTAATCACGTGAGATGTAAAAAAAAAGTAACTAAAGAGGCAAACAAAAGAAAACAATGGCGAAAACTTTTTGAAATAATCCATTTTAATGGTGGAGGTTGAGAAGTGTTTAAAGGAAAACAATTAATGGAGAGAAGACTACTTAGTCACGTGAGATAGAAAATCAACTAGGAAGGAATTAAACAAAAATATTAAAAAAAAAAATTCTATAAAAAGCTATAAATTATTGAATATTCCACAATCCGACGGAATCTCAGTTCATCGGTGTCACGTGCACCCAAGTCCATAGTTTGTGATGTGGAGTGCACCTTCGTCACAACCGGTGTTGCTGTGGCCAATATTTCCAAATATAAAAGCGCCTTCCCCACAAAAATCTTAGAAGTATGCATGCACTATTTCAGCATAACATTTGACTAATTCTAGCATGCAACTAGAAAAATAGCTATTAAATAACATAAACCAGAATATTTTCTAATTAATTGCTAGTTTATAATTTACAACAATTAAAGTTACACCGTCAAAAATGTTGTATTCACATCAATATGTTCATATGTAAGTACACCCACACATAAAGCAAAGTATTTGCAATGAAACAATATAACGGATACAGAGACAACATACACATAGCTAACATAAGATGACAAAATGACAAGTCACTATGTCCTAGAGAGCACATCTAACCGCTTATAATACTAACCCTCTCTCCAGTTGCCAAAAATGTTCATGAAAATAAAGTTCTCATAAACACATGGATATCATTGAAGCTATTTGATATAAGTTACCACATGTGTCTATACTCAAATAATGATATAATTTACCACATGTGTCTACTCAAATAATACAAATTAATACTGTAGCTAATACCGTTGCTGCATTTGTAAGATGACAAGGAAAATAAAAGGTCAAACGAAACACATAAAACCTTACTAATTAAGGGGAATCAGCAATGGCCTAGGTTGTGAGGGATAAGCAGCTGGCAAAAACATTGTAGTTTATTTTTTATCAACCTCTTTAAATTTTTAGGCAAATATTCAGTGTCTAACTTCTAAGAGAGTCTGGTTCACAGCACAAGCATCCTCATTATACAAGAGTTTTGAATCATTATCTCAAGCTACCAGCAAACCCTTAGCAAGCAGTTACAAACTGGTCAAACCTTCTTCTTACCATTTCAGAGATACATTCATTATAAGGGTATAAGGAATTAACCTATTAAACCCTCGTGCCCAACTGGAACACTGTGGAAAGGGTAACACATCTGCAGCACTCGGCCATTTCAGAAATACAGAAATAAATTCTACAGCAACTGCAGCACACAGCCACATAGTGGCGATACACCAGGCATAACTTAAGACTTCTATAGATATATGACACAATACAGATCCAGCCACATCTTGCATAAATCCGAGAAAACGAGATTGAAGAGACTATGAAAACCACAACGCTAATCAAAAACATATGAGCACCTGTACAACCAGCCAAGCACTGTGAGTATGTGACCTTTGTTCATCTTCTGTGACGTGAACAAGTGCGTCATCTTACGACAAAATAATTCCTTTAGAGGCAGTTCATTTATTATTGATGCACGAAAGCAATTCATTTGTTTCAACTGAAAAAGGAACTTTATCTGACCATTTATTGCCTCTTATAAAGTTTGAAATAAAAAGTATTTAGCAATTCAAACCTGAGCAATAAGGTTCAGCCTTCTTATGCAACAATAAGCACAAAGATTTGTAAGTAATAACGGTAAATCAAATTATTACGTACTGTGTTTAAAAAAACAAATCTTACGGCATTGCAAAGGCCACGATAGGAAACCTTGATGCTGAATCATTTAAGAATCCATGAAAAATTCTTATCCCAAGATATCACAATTTAAATAAACTTAGATAAAAAAGAGGACAACAGTGAAATAATTTGTACGAAGTATTTCACACTTCTAGTCAATTTATTCTATTACTCAAGCCCTAGAAGCAACAGAATTTCAATCTCTTCTCTGTTTTTATATGAAATTTTCTTACTGAGACTGTTTTTCTTTAGTATTATTATTTGTTGGTCACAGGCAAGATAAACAAAAATGATTCGGGGTTGGTTAACATGAGTCATCATAAGGAACTTTTCAAAAAAGTGAAACAACAAAAATAATGAAATAAATTAAATGAAAGTGGAAGAAAATGAGGGGGACATAGGCACATAGCAAGCAAGAGGCAAGGACAGTGAAATTTGAGGAAATTTTTATAGAAGAGAGCTAAGAGGAGATAAAAAGAGAGGGAAAACACATAAAAGGTTTGAGAAAGACTTACAAAAGGAAATAAAACATTTTGCAAAACACTTCATAGAGAAAATAAGAGTATACATATTAAAAGTCAAGTCATGTCCTCTGCAAAAAATTTCTCCCTCCACTCCTTTTCCGAAATGGAATCTAGACTAGAGTTACTAACTTTTCTGTTTTAATAGTAAATTAGAATTTTTCACAAAGAACTCATTTATAAATTATAACTATAATTCTTAAAGTAACTGCTCTAATACTGAAAACAAAATTGATCAAGCAATAATCTATTTTCACTGATTACTAAAGTGGTACCAACTATATATCATACGCAAGTTAAATAAAGCATAAATGAAGATGCATTTTCGAGATTTACAATAGATAACACCTCAAATATCAGTCACGCACATTAGAACCAGCCAGATATTTCAAGTTTACGTGACAAACGAGCAAAACATATGGATTTAGCAAGGATATCAGTCAGACATGCATTAGAATTTGCTAGACATAGGGACTATAAATGCAAAAAACCAACACATGACCAAGAAAATCAAGTTAACTCGTCCATATAAAGAAGAAGAAACAAAATTGACTCAACATGGTAGCAAAATAGAATGACCAGAGCAGAAACTTCACGTAATACAAAATTACAAACCATGGTTTGTGACATTCAGCTCATAAAAATGCAACAATTAAATAATTCATAAACCATTTACGTTACTTTACCAATTGACAAAAGTTTAAGAATCCAAAAAGCACTAGGAAGAAAGAAGCTTACAAATTAATCGAAGGCAATCGTGCACTCTTTCCCCGCCTCTTGTTAGGAATATGGTGAATCTCAAGTCTTTTTCTGTTATGCTCCTCCTGCATATTGTGATCATTATTTTGTTGCAGATGTGTTACACAATTGTTGTCCCCCAATAGAACCAGACTTTCTGAATAGACTTCTGCATGTGGAGCAATGTATGAGTCCAGGGGCTGAAAATCCACAATTTTTGCAGGTTCCATAAGCGAGAAGCAAATCCAGTTACCATTACCACATAATATTAATTCGCCATTCATATCGATGCTAAGAAAGCGTTTCCATCCTATTTCAGGGTACATATCCAAATGAATTCTGAATAGTTTGGTCCACGACTCTTCCACATTATACTCTTTCATTACCCATACGTCACATCGATAACCAGGAAATTGGTGGAGCAGGAAAATAGTCCCCGAGGACCCCACAATCCGATGATCTGAGTCAATATTAAGTTTCCCGTCCTCAGGACATGCCATTTCCATAAAAGTCTCAGCATTCAGACTAAAATACACGATACAGTACTGATTACCATCTTTGTGAGTCAAGAAATGGAGAGCACCATTAACAAAAGCAGGAACACTTAGTTGCTGCAAGGGCACAGAATTTCTGACACATCTCCATGATTTAGTACTCAGAGAGAAAATGTCAGCGGAGCATGCAGCGGGTTTAGTCGAAAAAGACAAAGGCGTATTGTCAACTCTCCTACTTGCTGTGAAATTACGAAACCAAAAGGCAATCCTTAAAATTTTATAATCATTAGCTACAGCATCAAAGCCAAACCCAAAAGAACATTTTAGGTAAGTCAGTGATCTACTACCAGAAGGTTTACAATAAAGATTAGGAACCTGATAAGACTTTCTGATGGTGGGGTTCCACAGAGACACAGGGTTGAGTTCATGAGTGTCATCCCATAAGCAAATCACCCCATCAACACAACCCCCAACAGTATAGTAGTTCCCTTCAGGCCTATCAAATGGGAAACCCAGATCCCAAATTGTCCTAAAAGAACCAAAACTACATTTTTCATCATATAAGATATATATTTCTTTCTGTTGGATGTTGCAGTAGCGCCTAAAGAGAATATTATAGTTACCAGTAGCATGGTTGTGAAGTTTGTGTGAAGAAATGAAATGGGAACTACTAACAAGAAAATACCAAGATTGGCAAACAGACCTGAATCGCAGCAGAGACTTTGTAGGCAATCGCACCAGAATTTTCAGCACCAATTCTTCTGGAATATCACTCTTTTTTTTTTTTTTTTTTTTTTTTTTTTTACAGAACAAGGAGAATGGGGGTGTAGATGAATCCAAAATCAGGTTTGAAAAGGTGAAAGAATGGCTGCGGAAACTATATGAAGGAATTGAAAGAGGATGGATGGCTTTCTGAAAACCTAGTCCACTATGCCTTCTGAATTTGGGCCATCAAGGCTCCATTTACATTAAGTATAACACCCCCAAAAACTTCAAATCATATCAAAGTGAATCGAATCCCAAATAATACAGCCCATATTAACTGAATGTATATATTCAATTCATTTATCAAAATGGAAATGAATGATTTCTAGCAGAAAGAATCCTGCACATTGATTACTTACCAATAAATACCACAACTACGATCAGATTGATCACATCATATAATTTTATAAATACTCCCTCCGATTTTTTTCTTCTACCGACTTTTAATTTTAGGCCGTTCTTTTAAGTTCTACCCACTTTGCTTTATTTTATCAACGACATTCTCTCTTTGCCTATCCAACCCCACAATTATTACACCGTTCCATACTCTCTCTCTCTCCCTCACTTTATTCACTTTTTTTTTTTTTTAACACAAACCCACCTTTTACCATCCTCTCTCTTACATTATCTTACTTCCACTCACAGTGAGTAGAACATAAAAGAACGGTGGTAGTATTAACTACATTGAAAAAAATTTGACTTTAAAGATGTAATCTTAATGATATATTTGATAAGAGCTAAATGGTAAAATGCGCCATCACAAATGATGATATTGACATTACTAATGCAGGGAGGAACCTTCAAGATAAGTATATATGCATAATCTCATTAAAGACAGATTTTTTTATGATAAAATAAAAATTATAAAACTAACATCTTTAAGAAGCTAAAGGCAACAAAGTCCTAAATCTGTTTGTCTATTTACACTTCCATTTATTTCCACAACATCTTTGCCTTTTGGTAAATTAAGGACGTGCTAATAATCCACAACAACAAAGTTCTGAAAGAATAAGTCAAATAAGACGCTTATAAATACAAACACTGATAGAGATACTTGAAGAACTTATCCAAGCACGCATCTATCATTACATAGATTGATTTCAATATGTGTAAATAAGGGATGTGTTTATATTTCACCACAACAAAGTTTTGGAAGAATGAACCAAAGAAGACGCATATAAATGCGAACACTAATAAAGTTGCTTGAAGAACTTATCTAAGCAAACATCTAGTATTACATAGATAGATAAAGCCAGCTACACATCTTTGTCCTTCCCATCTCTTTAATAACAAATAATGGTCTTTGTTGCTGAGCTATTCAGAGCATATGCTACACTTATAAATGGATCCAAAAACAATGAACTTATAGTATTGTATGCTTGAATTTAAACAGGTAACTAAATCAGCTTAATTCAGGCAAAGTCATTAAGCCGAGAGTTGAGCTAGCAGACTTCTTTCATTTGGGATTGGTTAATTCTAAAACCATTCACCAACCCAGCACCAATACATAAGTATAGATCATGATTAATAAACAGAGCTAGTGAGGCCCAACAGCATGATTATAGTTAAGAATGAACAACTCCCACAGAGATTCACATATATACCTTGTTTTAAGATCTTCTTACTTATTTATGTTCCGAATCACAAATTCACAATAGACCAGACCAGATGCAGATCACACCAAGCCATAAATCATTTCAATTAACTTATTTGTAAATATCTTTGATTGCATATCAGTATTAAACATTATATAAAGTAGGTATTTGGAAAACTTACACCGAGAAGAAACTAACAAAATCCCACATAATAATATTTATCTAAAATATTTATGTAAAAATTAGGTCAAAGATTAACTAATCACATAAACAATTTATTCCTACTATAAACAAAGCGCTTCTGCCAGAAGACTCACATCAAACAAATGTATAAAAGTAAAATAAATGATTGTATATAGATAAGTACAATAGAATTCCCTAAATTTTACTGAAGAATAACAAATGCATTATGTTGGTATAAGGCAACGATGAGCCAAAAAAATTGAACCAACATAGTTGTTACAAACTACTCAGAGGAGAAAAAGAAAGAAACCATAATACATACAGAGTATTATATTAATTAAATTTGGATATGATGTATGCATTTGTCAAAGTATCAAATATGTCATTACCTCAGCAACTTCAGCAAAATATGTTCTCTGGCATAAAAGATATGACACCAGACTTCTAAGGAAATCAATCAAACAATTCTGACTAAATGCTTCCTAGTTTCAATATGAAATGATAGACAAATACAGGGAAAGAATTGTAAAGTAATCCCAGTAGACCAAAACAGGAATCAGCACAAATACTCAAGAAAATAAAAAGAAATAAAGAAACATTTCATCTTAAATCCAAGCATTTGAATTCATTATATACAATAAGTAAATCTTCATTGTGATGGCTTGAGATTACCTAATAACATTGAGGTAGCTGACTTGATAAATACATTGATTGGCCTATTCTACCACTTTTTTATGAAATTGTTATTTCCAGCTGGCATAAATAATCTATTACTGAAATGCTCTAATACTCTCATAAAATACCAAAATTCTATTAAGGAAATAATAATTTCACTAGAAAAAAAATCTAATCAAGAGTCTAATAATAGTGAGTTTGAAATCTAACTTGCGCAATACACTTATACTCACACATATATGTGAACTCATACTCAAAGGGCTTGACAAATAAGGCCAAAAAAGGAACAAGATTAATTCATAAGCCTATCTATTACAAATTTATGATATAAGATACTTCCTCTACTTAGTTATTCATTAATTATTGAAGAGTGTAGAGGTTGTACAATATTTAAGAAGATTAAGTCACAAGAAGAGAAAAATAGAGAAATATAAGAGGGACCCATGAGATAAGGAACATGATAGCTAGATAAGCCAAATCATATCCAGGTAATAATGCAATTAATAAACAAATTGTTCAATATTTAATCACCATCCTCAAAATTACCAAAACTGATTTTTCAACACAAAAGAATTTGCAACAATGTCAATCACAATAAGATGCACAACAGCCACACAAATTGAACTAATCATAAGTACTGTCAAGTAGGGTACCTTAACACTTTGTTTGGATAGGAAGAAATGGAAGGAAAAGAAGAGAAGAGAAATGGAGGGGGACAAAATCTCTTATTTGGATAAAAGATTGGGGGAAGGAAGGGGAAGGAGAGGGAGAGATCCATTTTCCCTCTCTCTTTAATAACCATAATCTCTCCAAAATTGGAGAGATTTGGAGGGAAAATGGAGCTCACCTCTCCCTCCCTTTCTTTTCCCTTCCCTTCCTCCATTTTCCCTCCCCTTCTTTTCCTTCCTTCTTTGCTATCCAAACAAAGCGTAAGTGCTCTTCAAATTTAGTTTTCTCCTCCAATTCTTTATATCAAATCATTACAATCATAGTCCAGGTTAAGAAGAGTAACCAAACAGCTCATCGAAGTAACAAACCAAGCCTGAGATCTCTCTAGTTCTCACAAGTAGGTAGTAGCGTATCTGATCCATCATTGTTAACAAAATGGTTGCCATAATCTCTATAGAAGAAATAAAGGCCATCTACATCCCTTCGTGGATTGCCACTGATCATCAACTACACCAGTTCTGGTTGGAAACTACTTCTTTAGCAGATTAACCTTCAATAAAAACAACAACCTTAATGCTTGGATGAGTAAAATCAAGTTCTTTAATTACAATATGCTGCAACCACACAGTAAGTCAGTAACCATTTTACTCAGAAGTCGAAGATTCTTTCAGTAACATTGACAACCCTAGGTCGAACCATGAAATTGTTTTTACTAGCTAACCTTCCATATCGATGATGTCCCACTAATGTTTCAGGATATTGAATGAATGAATATGTATTTCCTACAATCTTACAATGCCCTTAATTGTAATAAACAAACCACATTAGACATTTGCTTATTCAATTAACCAAATGAGATTATTTATTGTCTTCGTAATTTGTACATTTAGTCAAAATTCAACATCCGCAGCAAGCTAGATACTATTGTAGAGAAAGCAATACCCGGATAAGCACTCGGGGCGAGGCTTTTAAGGGACCCAAGCATGCCATGGCCATTGACCACCCCTCTACAACTCTTAATTGTTAAACAATACAATTATAATGCAAACCTCTAATTTACGTTCTTATGGTATACTAAATATTCAAGGTTGGTATTAGAATTGGCCTCCAAAATCCATTCAGAAATTGAAACATGCAAATGAAACCTTACCATCAATTATACTAACAAGTGTATTGCTTTAAAATTGTTCTTGGGTATTGAACCAATTCGTAAGTCCCAATTTAGAAATTAAATATAAAATTTTTTTAAAAAAAAACTCAGAAATTCGCAGAAAATAAAAGGAAAACACACAAACCCCTTTTGTCTGCAACTGCAATCCCATATCTCTGAACTTACACCCATCTGAATTCGTGGGCTAATAGGGGATTAATCTAGAAAATGGTAATGTAAAAATCCATTAGAATTCAAAAAAGTTAAGCAATGGAAGAAAAGTATAAGACAGCCAGTAATTTACCTAAGATGCAGTAGGTATTCAAGATTCGATTTCTGGAAAAGGGTTGAAAAAATTCCAGATAAATTCATCTTGACAATTCCTCAATTTATGGGTAGTGTAATAGCAGACTAATAAAAGATGTTTGCATTTTCAGAAATGTTGATGAATGATGAGGGTGAAGAACAAGAGTAGCCTAGAAGGTGATTGTAGACTGATCGGGAGTAGTGACCACTACCAGGTATTGGGCTCGTTTAGGGGCAAAAATGTAATTTCACATATTACTTACCCATGTTGTAAAAATGCATTCTCTCTCCTCTCAATAACAATATATAAATTAAGAATAACAGTATAAAAACCAAGAATAACAGTACACAAATCAATAATAACAGTATAGAAATTAATAATAACTGAGCACCGATAAAAAATTTCCGGCGTCAATTTCGACCGAACTCAGCGATTTCCAACATAGAACTCACCGTTTTTAATGGCTAGAGCCATAAGTTTGTGTCTCTTGTTTTTGGGTTATGTTTTTTTGGGTGGTTTCCAGTGATTTTTAATGGAGGTAGTTGCGTGTTTTTAGATTTCGACCAAGGTAGTAGTTGGTGGGGTGGGCTTCTTGCTGTCGGAGGTGAAGTTGTGGCGGGCAGAGGTTTGGCAGGCAATGGGAGCTATCCATGGAGGTGGGGAAAAGGGTTTAAGGAAGGAAGAAGATGAAGAGGAAAGGGGAAAAAAAAGGGAAAAGAAAAGGAAAATTGTGGTATTGGGTAGTATTACACATACCATGGTAGTGAGTAATACTTACTCGACTGATCAGAGTGATCATGATTTCTAACTTTAGGCTTTGTTTGGTTCAATATTAGTAGAGGAAAAAAAGAGAAAGGATGGGAAGGGAAGAAAAAAAGGAAAAGAAGGGAAAGGAATGTAATTTTATTTTCCAATATTTAGTTGATGAATAAGAAATGAAGGGAAAGGAATGTGATTTTATTTTCCAATATTTGATTGATGAATAAGAAATGAAGGGAAGAGAAAGGAAATTACTTTTATTTTTCTCTTTCCAGTCAAATTCCTCCGATTTTGAGAGGAAAGGAAAGCAAAAATTTTGTTAAGAGATTTTCCTCTCATTTCCCTTCATTTCCTTTAGATTTTTATGTCATTTATTCAACCAAACATGAGAATTTGATTAAAACAATTTCCTTTCTTTTCTTTTCATCCAAATTCCTTCAACCAAAAAGGTTCTTAAGGTTAGAGTGTGAAGGAATTGGTATGAATGACGTACTCGTGACTTAGACCTGGTAAACGGGTCGTTCGGGTCGGGTCAATCAATCTTCAGGTCGGGTCAATTCGGATTTCGGGTCAATGGTAATTTGGGTCAGGTTGGGTATCGGGTCAACACTTCGGGTTGTGTTCAGGTCGGGTCGATTTCGGGTCAGTCTTCGGGTTTCAATTATCGGGTCAAGTTCAGGTCGGGTTGAGTTCTAGGTCAATTTTCGTCTATGTCGATATAGAAATTTGATTAATAATACTTCCTCTATTATTTTAATACTTGTAAAACTACTCTTTTCACGCTTGCCGATACATTATTTAAATTGTTAATATCTTTTAATTGTGAATATGTAAAAAGTATAAAACATTAGATATTAATATACTCCCTCCGTCCCCAAATGATAGTCCCTTATGGCCTATTTTTGTCCCAAATTGATAGTCCCATTTGCTTTTTTCAAGTACTATTAGTATCAATTTTTTATCAAAATTCCCTCCAATTACAACAATATTTGTGCAAATTTAACTTTCCCATGTAAATTTTGTTTTTCAATGTACTTTTATTACTTTCTCTCTCTACTATTTTACATATCCAATGTAAATTTATCTTTTCAATATAATTTTACTACTTTTATTTAAGTTTTTTAATTCCTGTGATTTTTGCCCATAAGGGACTATCATTTGAGGACGGAGGGAGTAGTTGATATGTCAATTTTATATAATGTTTTACCCCCGTCCCTTGGTCGTTATTAAACATGGGCACGGGCCGTGCCCGTGCCGCCGCGGGCCATGCCCGTGCCGCCGCGGGCCATGCCTGGCCGTGCCGGGGTGGGAGTCGTGCCGTGCCGGCTCCGCGGCGGGCCGTGCCGTGCCTGAATTTGGCACACCCCAGCCCACGGCACGGCACGACCCACGTGCCTTGCGGGCCGTGCCGTGCCGGGCCGCGGGCCAAACCGTGCCAGGTTATTTTTTTTATTTTTTATTTTTTGTTTTAATAAATGAAAAAAAAAACGAATTAAACGATATATTTTTTTTAGTACAACTTAATATATGTGATTAATTTATGTTTATGTTAAATGTTAATGTTAATATATTTTGTTTTCATTTTTTGAACAACTTTATTTTAATTTAGGTTATATAAATTATTTATCTAATTAATAATTATGTTTAAGTTTATTTAAACAAATAAAAACAATTTTATTAATTTAGCAAAAAACAACAATGCATATAATAATAAAAAAATACGAGTGCGATAATCCGAAAACATAAAAAATTAAAGAATAACTTATTTTATTATATGACGGTAGCCGGTACGAATGTACGATAATTCAATAATACAAAATAAGTAATGATAATTAAAAACCGTACAATAGTGTATGTATATTGAATAACTTCATTTATTATACGGAATACGAAGTTCGATAATACAAAAAGAATACAATAGTGTATAATGTAAATATGTAATCATGTAATTATTATTGGTCGTCTTCATCTTCGCCTTCGTCTTCATCTTCGTCTTCGTCTTCGTCTTCTAGAGGTTCAAGTTCATCCGCCAATTGAGTTGATTGAGAAGTATGAGAACTAAAAGAAGTCGACGTTCCTTCATCGTCGTCGTTTTGTGCATAAGTACGATCTTGAGAACGAGTTTCGGCATCCAACCAATCCTTGAAGCAAACACACATTTCAAGTGTTTCGGGTTTTAGTCTTGTTCTTCTATCGTCTAAAACTCGTCCCGACGCACTAAAAGCTCTTTCGGAGGCAACGGAGGAGACTTGGATTGCAAAAATATCACGAGCCATTGCCGACAAAATTGGATGTTTCACGGTTTGTGATTTCCACCAATCGAGGATGTCGAGGCCAAACTTCTCTTCATCGTCCATGCATTTCATGAAGTCGTAACTTAAGTACATTTGCAACTCCGAAACATCGCTTTGTGTTCTCTTACTTGATGATGATTCCGTAACTGAAAACTTGGACATCATGTTAGCAGCTTGTGCAAATAAACCTTTGGCCCGTTTACTTACATTTTTGGATGTTTGAGAAGGGGAAAATCGAGACACGGTTCCATATTTACTTTCATAGGTGGAGTATAAAGAAAAAAAATCATTTGTCACCTTACTTTTAAAAGCTTCAACATCATCTTCAAAATTCATGTTACTATAATAAATATCAATTAATAAAAAGGTGCCATCATATTTTTGCCTAGGATCTAAAATAGAAGCAAAAATATAAATCATAGGAATATCGGTGTAATATTTACGCCATTTTTCCTCCATGGATGGAAGATATCCACGATAAACATGTTGAGATCGGTGTTCCGCAAAAAGTTGTGCAAGTAAACATGCATTACTAAGAAAAGAATGAGAACAAGGATTATATACAGAAGAAAAACAATGTGTCATACCATATAGTAATTGTAAAAACTGCATATATTTTTCACAATTAACCCAATCATCTTCTAGTAAAGCATTTTGTGGAAATTTCATATTATAAAAAAGTGTTAAATGAACCTTGTACTCGATTGCCCGACTCAACATTTCATAGGTGGAGTTCCACCTAGTTGGACAATCCGGTGCTATTTTTATGGTTTTTATCCGTTGTTGCCTGCAAAAACCTTTCCATTCTTGATATCTCATGTTAGAGCTATTAATAGACATAATAACATTCCTTATATTGTGATAAAATGGACCAATTGCTTGCGTTCCATCCTTCACACACAAGTTAAGAACATGACAAATGCATCTAACGTGAAGCGCATCTCCATCTAATATAACATCAGTCAATTGGTTTTTGACCAAATTCGCTCTGTATGTCATAGAAGTTGCATTATCGAAAGTCATTGACATGATTTTATCCCTAAGACTATATGCATCAATGGCTTCCATTAAATGATGTGAAATGTTAAGACCGGTATGAGGGTATTCAAGCATTTTGAAATGAATGATGCGTTTTTGTAACATCCACTCATTATCTAACCAATGACAAGTAACACATAAATAGTGGAGTCCGTAACCACCATCCCATGCATCGGCGGTTAAAGAAACTCTATTAGGAATATTAGCTAATTCATTTACTAATTTTAATTTGTACTCTAGATAACTCTTCATGGCAGCAGATCGAACGGTTTTTCGGGAGACTTTTTTGTGTTTTGGTTGTAGTTCTCGGTTAATATAGTTGTTGAAGGCATCATTTTCGGCGAAAAGAAAAGGTTGTTCCACATGTACAATCATTCTCCCAAGTTCATCCCTATTTCTCTCGTAATTGTAAATGAAGCCTTGTGGATGGAATTGAGAAATTTTGGGTTGGGTTGGATCACTAGATGGTCCACCACATTTTTTTGTATGTCTATTAAGGTGTCCCGTCCCTACCTTGGTATCGGCCAAGAAAATTTTACCACAAGTCCGACACTTGGACTTTTGTCCATTTTTACTTAATTGATAATGTGACCAAACTTCACTCTTTCTTTTGGTTTGAGCAAAATCCTCTTCGGTACACCACTCTAATATGTTAGGATTTTGGGTTTTGGGCATTTGGGTGGATGGTTCACTCGACCCGCAGGCTTGTGTTTGGCTACCTTGGGAAGGAGGAGGAAAAGGAAATTCATGTTGTTGAAATTGGCTTTGTTGAAATTGGGTCCAAGGAGCCATATCATCCATTTGTTCTTGCCCTCCCTTGTTTTGGGGATGAAAGAAAGGGGTGGAAGTGTTTGGAAAGGGCATGTTAGGGGGGGGGGCATAGGCATTGAAGTGTTTGAATTTGGTGATTCCCTACGTTTTGACTTGGCTTTTCTAGAGGAGGAGGAAGCGTTCGGGTTTGATGCCATGATTAATTAATAATAATAACAATAAAAGTAACAATAACAATAATAATAATAATACAAATAACAATAACAATAACAAAGTAACAATAACAATAATAATAACAATTCACAACAATAATAATAACAATAACAATAATAAT